GTTCTTCTTTTTCTAGTTCCTTAAGCGGTATAGTTAGATTGTTGATTTGAAATGTTCCTTGTTTTTTAAAATTTTATTTGTTTACTTATTTTTAATTCCAGTATAATTAACATACACTGTTATATTAGTTTCAAGTGTACAATATGGTGATACAACAATTCTATACATTACTCAATGCTCATCATGATAAGTGTACTTTTAATCCCCTTCACCTATTTCACCCATCTTCCCACCCACTTCTCTCTGGTAACCACTAGTTTGTTTTCTATAGTTAAGAGTCTGTTTTTTGGTTTTTCTCTTTTTTTATTTCTTAAAATCCATATGAGTGAGATCATATGGTATTTCTCTCTGTTGTTTCACTTAACATTATATCCTCTAGATCCATCCATGTTTTTGCAAATGGCAAAATTTCATTCTTTTTTATGGTTGAGTAATATTCCATTGTATATATATACCACATTTTCTTTATCCATTCCTCTATTGATGGACACTTGGGTTGCTTCCATATTTAGCTATTGTAAATAATGCTGCAATAAACATTGGGGTGCATATAACTTTTTAGATTAGTGTTTTCATATTCTTTGAGTAAATGTCCAATAGGGAATTACTGGATCATATAGTAATTCTATTTTTAATTTTTTGAGGAGCCTCCATACTGTTTTCCACAGTGGCTGCACCAGTTTGCATTCCCACTAACAGTGCCTGAGGGTTTCTTCACATCCTCACCAACACTGTTGTTTCTTGTGATTTTTTTTTTAAATTTGAATGGGCTATACTTTCATGTTTCTTTGTATGCCTTATGATTTTTTTATTCAACATTGGATATTTGAATCTAATAACGGGGTAAGTCTGGAAATCAGATTCTACCCCTTCCCAGAGTTTACTGCTTTTTGTTTTATTTTTATTTGTCATTGTTGTAGGCTGTCTCTGTGCTGAGGGTCAGCCTGAGGTGTAAAATTAAGGTCTTTTCAGGTCTCCTCTGAGCCTTTCCCTGGACATGCATGGTCACTTTCTAGTTTTCCCCTTAAAGCAGTTGTTTTTAAGTGCCCTAATTGTTAATGCCTGGTGCCTGAATGGGGAAAAGGAGAAAAAGGTAAGAAGGGAAAAGGATGCTGCCCTTTAAATCCTTTGGTAGTTTCAACAGGAGAGGAAGGGTCTTACAACAACGGGATGGAGGGAGGTGCAACAACACCTTATAGCCTCTTTGTCTGCACCTCTGTGATCAGAAGCAGCAATCAGCAATCAGAGCACAGATCCACAATATTTGAAGGACAAGGTCCTTTTAGCTCATCCTGGCTCTGGCAAACTGTGTGCAAGCTACTAGAGGAACACATACATGGCTCCCTGCCACATACCTAGAAGGGTGGGGAATGAGTAGCTGCTACTGTGTTTAGATCTGAAATTAACCAAAATTAATCATAATTTGCCATCTAAACCTTCCCCTATAAGTTGCAAGCCTTCAACAGACCCAGAGTTCCAAAACAGTTATAACAGACAGAATGTGGTAGTGCAAGTGTTGTGTAGGTGGGAGACAGATTCCTGGTACTTCCCACTCTCCTATCTTCCCAGAATCTTCAAAAATATTATTTTTATAGTTTTCAAAAGTATACTCTATCTGTAGTAAAGCCCCATTTCCCCCCTAACATTGTTTTATCTTCTTGGCTTTGTTTTGTTTTGGCTCAATCATGCCAGAAGTTTGTCTATTCTGTTAGTCTCTTAAAGCAGGTTTTGTTCTGTAGCTCTTTTCTAGTGCTTATTTTCTAATTAATTAATTTTTGTTCTTATCTTTAATTCTTTCTTTTTATATTCTTTGGAGTTCTCTGTTATTTTAGTAGCTTCTTGAGTTAAATATTTAACTCATTTCCTTTTATTCTTTTTTATGTTAAGAGAACCATTTTATTAAAGATAGATCTTAACATATTCCATAATTAAACAATTTTGTGTCCATTGGGCATGTGTCCATTTTCTAATACACTCAGACTTTCAAAAACAAAATGGTCAAAGCCCTCTTTCATCTTTTTAGAAGAGTTATACACTATTAACAAACTTTCCACTAGCAAAGAGGAAACTTTGTTTTATACAGCTTAACTCTTGACGAATTGGAAAGAAGAGGTTCTCTGCATGAGGTAGTCTCTCTCAAGAAAACCCAAGGAGAAGATGACAGACACTATACTGCAGAGGGTACTCATGGTCTCCAGAAAGAATTTTTTTTTCTGTTTTCACCACTACCGTCACAGTTTCTAATTTGTGGGCTCTATGCAGAGGAGGGGTGGCTTTCGTTGACTCATTAATTTGTGTACTTTCTTTCAGTCTTGAGTAGACAGTAATGCTTTATCATTATAAGTCCAGTGGTGTTGAGTTTCACGACTCCTCTCACTACTATGCTTTTTCCCCCTTTTAGAATGTCCCAAATTAAACTTTTTATTTTGAGATAATTTCAGATTCATATACAATTGTGAGAAATAATACAGAAAGCTATCTTGTACCCTTTTTTCCCAATGGTACTATCAAGATACAGATCATTTCATCACCACAAGGATTCTGGTTACCCTTTTAACCCATGTTACCCTTTTATTTTTATTTATTTATTTAAGATTTTATTTATTTGACAGAGAGAGAGCACAAGTAGGTAGAGCTGCAGGCAGAGGCAGAGGGAGAAGCAGACTTCCCGCAGAGCAGGGAGCCCGACACAGGACTTGATCCCAGGACCCTGGGATCATGACCTGAGCCAAAGGCAGATGCTTAACCAACTGAGCCACCCAGGTGATCCCATGTTACCCTTTAAAAGCCACCTCCACTATTCTCCTTCTTAACACGAGGCAACTACTAATTTGTTCTCCATTTCTATGCTTTGTCTCTTCAAAAATGTTATATAAATGTACTTTTACAGTATGTACCTTTTAAGATTGGCCTTTTCATTCAGCATAATTCTCTGGAGATCCAGTGAGATTGGTTTGTGTCCCAGTAATTTGTTCATTTTTATTGATGAATAGCATTTCATAGTATGGCTGTATGTTTGTTTAACCCATGGAGGGACATCTGGGTTGTTTCCTGTTTTTTACTATAAAGCTCCTATAAACTATATACTGGTTTTTGTGTGAATATAAGTCTTCATTTTCTGGCATAAAGGCTCAGGAGTGCAATTGCTGGATTATATATGGTTGTTTGCATGTTTTGTTTTTAAAGAAATTGCATACTGCTTTCTAGACTGACACTTAGCATTCCCACCAGAAATTCTGACATTTGACATTTCCAGCAGGAATGTATCAGTGATCCAGGTTCTTTGCAACCTGTTGGAATTTGGTGTTTTCGCTATTTTTAATTTTAAACATTCCCATATGTGTGTAGTGATAGGTGTGTAGTGATACCTCACTGTGGTTTTGATTTGCATTTCCCTAATGGCTAATAATGTTGAACACTTTTTCATATGTTTATATGCCATCTGTATATCCTTTGGTAAACTGTCTCTTCAAGTCTTTTGCCTATTTTCTTTTTTTTTTTTTTTAAGATTTTATTTATTTATTTGAGAGAGAGAGAAAGCATGAGGTGGGGAGGGTCAGAGGGAGAAGCAGACTCCTCGCTGAGCAAGGAGCCCGATGTGGGCCTCGATCCCGGGACTCCAGGATCATGACCTGAGCTGAAGGCAGTCACTTAACCAACTGAGCCACCCAGGCGCCCTTGCCTATTTTCTAACTGGATTGTCTGGAGTATTTTTTACTGTTGAATCTTGAGTTCTTTATATATTTTAGATACTATTACTTTGTCAGATTGTGATTTGCAAATATTTTCTCTCACTGTGTAGCCTGTCTTTTCATCCTTTCAACAGGGTTTTTCACAGAGCAAGAGTTTTTAACTTTTATGAAGTCAAATCATCAGTTGTTTTTCTTTTATGGCTCATCCTTTTGGTGTTAAGAACTCTTTGCCTAACCTTAGATTCTGAAGTTTTTCACGTTTTTTCCTTTAAAAAAAAAAAATATTGTATTCACTTATTTGTCAGAGAGAGAGAGAGAGCACAAGCAGGGGGAGCAGCAGGCAGAGGGAGAAGCAGGCTCCCCGCTGAGCGGGGAGCCCGATGTGGGACTCGATCCCAGGACCCTGGGATCATGACCTGAGCCGAAGGCAGACACTTAACCGACTAAGCCTCCACCCAGGCGTCCTTCTCATTTTTTCCTTAATGTTTTGTGGCTTTACATTTCACATGTAAATCTGTGATCCATTTTGAGTTAATTTTTGCATAAGTATGAGACTAAAGTCGAGGTTCATTTTTTTGCGTACAGGTTTTTAATGGCTCTAACATCATTTGTTGAAAAGGCTACCTCTTCTCCAATGAATTGATTGTGCACTTTTATCAAAAATCATTAGGCAAGGGTGCTTGGTTGGCTCAGTCGGTGGAGTGTGTGACTTTTCATCTCAGAGTTTTAAGTGTGAGCCCCACGTTGGGTGTAGAGATTACTTAAAAATAAAATCTTAAAAAAATCATTAGGCATATTTAGATGGATCTATTTCTATTTTTTTCCATTGATCTACGTGTCTATCCTTCCACCAACACCACACAATTTTGATTAATATAGTTATATAATAAGTCATGAAATCAAGTATAGTGATTCTTCCCATTTTATTCTTTTCCAAAATTGTTTTAGGTTTTCTAGTTTCTTTGCCTTTCTATATACATTTTAGAATAGTTTTGTCAATATCTAGAAAAAAATCTTTCTGGGATTTTGATAAGATTTACATTCAATCTTTGTAACAGTCTGGGGAGAAATGACATCTTAACTATGTTAAGCCTTCCAGTACATGAGTACAGTATGTCTCTCCATTTATAAAGATTTTTAAAAATTTCATTCAATAGTGTATAGTTTCCAGCACATAAGTGCTATATATGTTTTGTTAAATTTATACTATTTCATTTTAAAAAGCAATTGTAAATGATGTATTTTTAGCATCAGTGCCCATGTATTTATCACTAGTATACGGAAATATAATTGATTTTGAGCATTTACCTTGCATCCTATGATCTCACTTTTTCTTTCTGGAAGTTTTGCATATTCCTTGATATTTTCTACATAGACAATCATGTCATCTGCAAATAGGGACAGATTTATTTCTTCCTTTCATATATATATGCCTTCTATTTCCTTTTCTTACTTTATTGCACTGTCTAGTGCTTCCATCTCTATGTTTATAAGAGTGGTGAGAGCAATCAGAAAGGATGAATACCCAACTTTTACATCAACATGGATGGGACTGGAGGAGATTATCCTAAGTGAAATAAATAGAGAAAGTCAATTATCATATGGTTTCACTTATTTGTGGAACATAAGGAATAGCATGGAGGACATTAGGAGAAGGAAGGGAAAAATGAAGGTGGGGAAATCAGAGGGAGAGATGAACCATGAGAGACTATGGACTCTGAGAAACAAACTGAGGGTTTTAGAGGGGAAAGGGGTTGGGGGATGGGTTAGCCCAGTAACAGGTATTAAGGAGGGCACGTACTGCATGATGCACTGGGTGTTATACGAAAACAACGAATCGTGGATCGCTACATCAAAAACTAATGATGTATGGTGACTAACATAACATAATTAAATTAAATTAAATTAAAATAAGAGTGGTGAGAGCAGACCTTGATTTGTTCTCAACCTTAGGGGGAAAGCATTCCATCTTTTGCCATTAAGTATAATGTTAGCCTTTGTCAGGTTGAAGAAGTTCCCTCTACTTGCATTTTTCTGAGAGTTTCTATCATGAATTGGTGTTAAATTTTGTCAAATACTTTTGTTGTTTTGACCAATATGACCATATACTTTCTCTTCTTTAGACCATGAACGTAGTAGAATACATTGATTAATTTTCAAATACTGAACCAAACTTGGATCCCTGGAATCAATCCCACTTCATAATAATGTATGATTCTTTTTATTTATTGAATTCTATTTTTTAGTATTTTTTTAGTATTTTTGTGTCTATATTCATGACAGATACTGGCCTCAAGTTTTCCATTTGTGTACTGTCTTTGTCTTATTTTGGTATCAGTGTAACACTAGCATCATAAAATGAATTGAAGTGTTTCCTCCTCTTCTATTTGCTGGAAGATTGTGTAGAATTAGTGTTAGTTATTATTTTTAACTTCTGGTAGAATTCTTCAGTAAGACTCTTTGGTCCTGGAGATTTCAAATTATGAATTCAATTTCCTTGACAGTTACAGGGCAACTTTATTCATATAGGATGAGTCGTGATTTGTGTTTTTCAAAATACTGATCCATTTTCTTGTCAAATTTATGTATGTAGAGTTGTTCATCTCTTTATTATTCTTTTAAGGACTACTATCTGTGACATTATCCCATTTCATTTCTAATGAATAGATTATTCATTATATATGAATAGACAATAATAGATCATTTGTGGTGTCTTTTCTCTCCTCCCACTCCCCACTTTTGGCCAGTCTTCCTAGAGGTTTGTCAGTTTTGATGTTTTTAAATTACCAGCTATGTTACTCGTTTCATTGATTTTTCCCTACTGTTTTTCATTATATTATTTTCTACTTTTATCTTTATTATTTTCTTCCTTCTGTTTGACTTTGCTCTTCTTTTTCTAAATCCTTGAGGTGACAGCTTATATTACTGATTTGAGACTTTTCCTCTATTTTAATGTATGCATTTAGTGTGATAAATCTTCTCAGTTCTTTAGCTATGTCCCACAAACTTTGTTACCTTGTATTCTTATTTCCATTCAGTTCACTGTATTTTTTTACTTCCCTTGAGACTTCCTCTTTGATGCATGGATTATTTGGAAGTGTGTCTTTTTGTTTTCAAGCGTTCAGAATCTCCTGTTCTTTATTATAGATTTCTAGCTTGATACTGTTGTCAAAGAACACATTATTTTAATTCACTTAAATGTATTGAGGTTGTTTATGACCCAGAATATGGTTTTGGTATGTGGTCTGTGGGCTTTTGAAAGTAATGCATGTTCTGCTATTGTTGGGTGTTCAAAAAATATTTATTAGATACTGTAGGCTGATGGGTACTGTTGAGTTTTCCTATACCCCTGTTGATTTTCTATCTAGTTATTCTACAAATTGAGAGGGGGGTGTTTATGTCCCCAACTATAATTGTGGATTTGTCTATTCGCCCCTTCAGTTTAATCAGTTTTTGCTTCATATATTTTGCAGCTGTTGTTTGGTGTATGTATATTTAGTATTACTATGTATTCTTGGTGGGTTGACTCTTTTATCATTACATAATGAACTTCTCTGTCTCTGGTTATTTTCTTTGCCTACTTTTTCTGATGCTAATACAGTCACTTCTACTTTTTGATGAATGTGTGCATATATATCTTTCTCTATACTTTTACATTTTACCTGACTATATGGTTATATTTTGAGTTTCTTGTAGGCAGCATATAGTTAGGTCTGCCATCTCTGTCTCTTGATATATTTAATGTAATTATTAACATATTAGGGCTTAAGTCTGCTGGGGGTTGTTTCTCCTCTCTTTTTCATTTGTTTTCTTTTTTTGCTTTCCTGTGGATTGCATGAACATTCTTTAAAATTCCATTTTAATTTACCTATAATACTTTTAAGAGTACCTATTTGTATAGGTTTTTTAGTTATTGCTCTGAGTACTGCATTATATATATATTACTTATTACAGTCTATTACAGGTATCATCATTTCAGTGGTTGAAGTACAGAAACGTTACCTCCCTTTATGTCCCTTTGCCTTTCCTGTTTACAATTGCTTAAAATATTTTCTCAGTATACCTTTAGAACTACATCAGACAGTGTTAGACCTTGTTTTAAGTGCCAAACACAATTTAGAAAACTCAAAGAGAAGGAAAGCTTACTTTATCCGAATTTTTGCTTACCACATTCTTTCTTCCTCCCTGGTGTTCCTAGGTTCTTTCTTTTATCATTTCTGTTCTGTTTAGAGGAATTCCTTCAGCCATTCTTTCAGGATAGGTCTGCTGGTGACTTTGTTTTCTTTAATCTGAGAATGTCTTGATTTCCCCTTCACATCTTTTCTCTGGGTATGGGATTCTGGGTGATAGTTCTTTTATCACTTTGAAAATATTATGACATTCCCTTTGGGCCTCCATGGTTTCTGTTGACAACCTGATGTCATTCTAATTGTTTTCCTTTGCTTTCAGATTTTGTTGTTTTCAGTTTTCAGAAGTTTAATTATGATGTCTCTTAATATGGATTTCTTTGGGTTTACCCTACTGGGAGTCTGATTATCTTCTTGAACCACTAGGTGTGTGTCTCTTGCCAAATTTGGGGAGTTTTCAGGCTTTACTTCTTCAAATATTTTTTCAGTCCCACCCTTTTCTCCTCTCCTTCTGAGACTCTGATGACACTATTAGATCTTTTGTCATAGTCCCACAGGCCTCTCAGACTCTGTTCACATTTTTTTTTTCAGTCTATTTCCTTTATATTATTCAGATTGGGTATTTCTGTTGTTCTGTCTTCCAATTCACTGATTCTTTCCTCTGTCTCCTCCATTCTGCTGTTGAGCCCATTTGCTGAGCTTTTCATAAGTTATTGTATTTTTTAATCTAAAATTTCCATTAGGTTCTTCTTTATATCTTCTATTTCTAAGACCTATTTCTCTGCTGAGTCTATTTTTGTCATTTTTTCCAGCATGTTTGCAATTGCTTACTGATCCATTACCATGGCTCTTAAAAATTTTTGTCTAAGAATTCTAATATATATGTGATCTTGGTGTTAACATCTACTGATTGTCTTTTAAAATTCAGTTTGCAATGAATCATTGAATACTACATCAAAAACTAATGATGTGCTATATGTTGGCTAACAACATAATTTTAAAAATTAAAAAAAATAAAATGCTAATACAGTCAAAAAAATAAAATTCAGTTTGAGATCTTCAGGTTCTTTGGTATGATGAGTCATTTTCATGTAATCTTGGACTTTTTGTATGTTATGAAACTCTAGACCTTAAACCATCTGTTTTAGCTGATTTTTTTTTTTTTTACCCTGCTCCAACAGAGGAAGGGGAGGGGCACTGCCCCATTGTCCCCCATTCTTAACTCCACTCAGCCTCTACTGATACCTGAGGGGGACAGTTCCTTATTACTGCTGACGAGGGGTGAGAGTTCTGGTTCCTTACTTCTTTTCCACTGATACCACAGTGGGTGTAGGCTCATTACCACTAGGTGACAGTAAGTCTCAACCCTACTTTAGGCCTCCTCTGACACCACCCCAATGGATAGTAGAATGGCATCTTGTTACTGCCAGATTGGGGCAGAAATCCAGGCTCTCTATGTGGTCTCCATTAAAACCAGATGGTGAGAGAGAGGCCTCATGACCAGACAGCACAGAAGCCCTGGCTTCCTATTTGGTATTCTTGAACCTAATTCTGGGGCACCTAATTTCAGCTGGGGCACCTAATTTGTTTTACAATAGTATAAATCTAAGTCCTCCATTCAGCCTGGGTGTGAGTGGTGCCACATTTTTTTGGTTGTGGTGTTTGGTTAGAACAGAGCAGTTACTAAGTTTCCGGTCTTGCTAGACTGCCCTTTTCCTGGTCTTTGGTTAGAGCAGATTTCCTTAAGTTTTTTGTTTTGTTTTGGTTTGGTTTTGGTTTTGGTCTGCACTCATTCATGTTTCCAGGTTGCTGGCTTCTTCAGCATCAAGTCTGGGATATACAAGACAAAAAGAAAACCCAAGCAACTCACCACTATGTCATTCCTCATGTCTCATGTTTCCTTCTTCTCTCCACCTTTCAGAGTCCCTTATGTTTGTTTTACATATAAAGTCTGAGGTCTGCAGTTGTATTTAGTGAAAAAGAATAGGGGAACATATATATACTCCAGAACTTCTGTTTTATTATTATTATTTTTTAAGTAGGCTCCACACCCAGCATAGAGCTCAACATGGGGCTTGAACTCACGACCCCTGAGATCAAGACCTAAGCTGAGATCAAGAGTCGGACGCTTAACCGACTGAGCAACTCAAGTGCTCCCAGAGGTTCTGTTTTAAATCCTTTTTAAGGGGCGCCTGGGTGGCTCAGTCGTTAAGCATCTGCCTTCGGCTCGGGTCATGATCCCAGGGTCCTGGGATCGAGCCCCGCATCGGGCTCCCTGCTCAGCGGGAAGCCTGCTTCTCCCTCTCCCACTCCCCCTGCTTGTGTTCCCTCTCTCACTGTGTCTCCCTCTGTCAAAGAAATAAATAAAATCTTTTTAAAAATTTAAAAAATAAATAAATCCTTTTTGATTGCTAATGACTGCACTTCAGAGCATAAATGCATCTCTAAGTATTACTTTAGCTCTATTCCACAAGTTTGATATTTGGTGTTTTACTGTTGACTGATTCTAAATGCTTTATAGTTTTTCTTATGATTTCTTCTTTGTCCCATGAATTATACATAAGTGTGCCTTAAAATTTCCAAATGGATTCTTTTTTTCCTATGTTTTTATTATAGATTTCTAATTTTGTTGACTTGTATTTTGGTCAGAAAACTTAGTCTGTATGCCATTGATTCTTTGGTATATGGCAGGATTTGTTTTATTGCCTAGTATTTGGCCAGTTTCTATTGTATAAATGTTCCTTGTGTGTTTTAAGAAAATATATGTTATTTAATGATTGGCATAACCCTATGATTATTACTTATTAGGAAAGACTTTTTTCGTCTATCCAATGGCTAGATACATATAATGGGGCATGGATTATTTTTCTAGTCCATTCTTTTTGAGAGTCTTGGCTTGCGGTAATGGGGTTGATCTCAGTCTCAACTCCCATCTACAGCAGCCCAAGTTCTCTGTTTGTCTAAGACCATTAAAATCCAAGCCCCTAGATTTTGGAGTACTGCTCTTTCCCCTCACACCACCACCCACCAATAGCAGCTGTTCAAGAGTTTCAGCTTTCAGTTTCTGCTTTGTTTCTGGAACAAAGGACTGGCCCCTTCTTTCTCATGGATTCAATGACACGTTTAAAAGTGTTCCAGTTCTGCTTTTCCCATCTAACATACCAGGGAGGAAGGCAATTAGGACACTGACACTCGTCTTATTTGGGGTCGGGAGTGACAGAGAAGCACAAAGCAAAGAAGAAAGTAGAAAGGAGTGATCAGAGTGTGGATCAGATGGATGCCTCCATGGGTGACTGATTCCCAGCTAGGCCAGAGCTAGGAATCACTTTTCTGGAGCAGTGCTTCCTGGGAGTCACCAAGACTTGTTCCTACATGCAGCTTCCTAGGATCCTTCCCTGGCAATCATGAATTTAGTGGTCTAGGGTAGGACTCTGAAGACTATTTTCTCCCAGAGCCTCAGGTGACTCTTATGGAAAAAAAAAGTTTAGAATGCAATGCTCTAGGATACTGTATGATTCCCAGGACCCACTTCTCTGGGTCAGGGATCTTGGAATCTGTGGTTTTTTGGCAGGTGCCACAGGAGATGTGCCACTGAAATAATAACAAAACAAAAAATAAGAGTATAGGTTAAAATGAAAGCGTTAGACTAGTATATAGGTGTAAGAAGAAAGTATGTCAGAGATAATACAGTGTACTTAGAAACTGTAAAAGTGTGGATACAGAATTCATATATCCATTTTTTCATTCATTCATTGAACAAACACTTTTTGAGCCCTTTTATGTCCCAGATATTTCTAGGCACTAGAAATTCTGAAATAAATAAGATATAGACCAAATTTCAAAAAAAGTATATAGAAGTACTGTATACAGAATTACAGATAGGGTTGCCAAGTAAAATATAAGATGCCCAATTAAATTTGAATTTCAGATAACCAATGAATAGTTGTTTAGGATAAGTATGTCCCAATTTTTTTTTCTAAATCTGGCAACCCTAAATATAGGAATATTTAGGAAAAGCTCCAACCCAGCTTAGGAGATAAGGGCTACAAAGTTCAGTCAAATGTCAAAAGGGCTTTGATACAAACTGATTAAAATTAGCAGGCCATGGAGACTGCTGCCAAAAGCAGGAAGGACTCAAATTATACCACATTATTCCTAGGTGAAAAAGGTAAGGTGTGTTCATATGTCCCCCAAACCACTACTAAATACCTCAATATCTCCTTATAACATACTCAACATAATTAATACTTTTAGTACCACAAGGACTTACAGAACACAGGTTTGTGGGCAAGGTCATCTAAAGTAATTCCTCCTTCAGGATTGTATTCAAAACTGCTCATGAAGTTGTATTTTGCAGTTCCTTCTGGAGAAACCGTAACTTTTGCAGAGTCTCCCAGAACCGCTTGATTGAATTCTGCACGAATAAAAGTAACTGGAGTATCTCCTTTAAAACCTTTCTGTTGACAGAAAGATAACACTTTACGATTTATACTCAAATAGAGAATTTTCCTACACATCTGGCAACTCATTTTGACTTGAACTACATAGCATTTTTCCATGTTTTCCTAACAAGCTATATCACAAATACAAAAGGGATAGGTAGAAGGTCATTAAACAAATCTAGTCGTAGCTAACTGTAACATTCTATTTAAATGCCATTATGTTGGGAATTTTTAAAAATAACTTTTGTGTTTACATGATTATAAAAGTATATTGTGAAACATTTTAAAAAGTGAGAAAAGCACATAGGAAAACAAATTACCTGTAATCTCACTCTAACATGCAAGCACTATTAATATTTTAGAATATATATTCTAGTGCTTTCCTGTGAATATATATATGTGTGAATATATATATATACACACATACATTTATACATATATCTTTTATATATACTTTTTAAAACAAAGTAGAGATCATTCATTACATCCTGTTTTGGAATGAGCTATTTGACTTCATAATAGTGAATGAATATTTTGCCATTTCATTATTCTTGTAATTTTTAAGTTACCTCATATTGTAGTTTTATTATTTAAATTCACCAAATGAAATTAATCACAAGAAAAACTATGGAAGAATTCAGATTTTTTCAGAAGAAAAGGCCTGTTGTCTAGGAAAACAAAAATTACTTCTTGTTTCACCCATTAAATGTAGTATTCAAATTGCCAGGTATTTTACACACATAGTGATGTGACCTGCTGATTATATGGTCTACCAAAAAGGAAAAATGAGAAAGAAATGCCATTGCAATGTTAAGACTAGCCAGTCTGGTGTTATAGGAGGGTGCAAAAGCATTCCTCCCACTAGTGTTCCCAATACATCTTCATGCAAACTGCAGATAGATGTTTGACAGGAAAACCTGAACACAAAGGCAAATATACTTTCAAGAAGAATGAATAAACTAAGAACTCCTCTAATTTCCAAAAGTAACTTTACCAAGTTATATCCATCTGTCACAGTGATCTGCACAGGTCTGCCTGTTGATAACACCTGCTCCATATCGGCACTTGGGCAAAGTCCCTCTGGTCTTCTTTGGTCTCTGTAAACATAATGAATCAACCTTTCCCCTCAAGTACCACAGCTGCAGAAGTACCCACATTACATAATAACCAATACTAGGGGAGAACCTAGGGAAATGCCATAGCTAGTCCAGCATTGTCCAGCATTGTTTTTTGCCCTTTCCAACCTTTGCTGATAGACAGAGCCTTACAGAGCTGGTCACAAGGATTCCATCAGTTAGTGATAACGTGATCTTTATGCATATAACTAAACCATCAAGCACAAATCATTCCAAGACGAAGAGGGTAGGAATGTCATCTCCCTTACTTACCCCATCTTTCATAGTATTCTTTGATAGACTTTATGTACAAAGCTCCCCTCAAAGTTTACTTAATCTCTTTTACAAAAATATACTTCGATAACAGGAAATAAACAGCCATATAGAATAATGGTTAGTCCACCAGCAAAAGTTCGGACATACGTCTTATTTAGTCAGAGATATCTTCTAATTATTTTACAACACTAAGGACACAATTTCAAAAATAAACTGGATATGTTTAAGAAAGATTTTCTACCTCAATTCAAATTGGAACTTAAGGCAATTCAAATGTTTGCCGAGGACATACTATGTGTATCTAGGACTGGTGGTACAAAAAAAGAAGGCAATACTTTGCTGTCCCCAGGCTTTATAATTATTCTGTCTCTTCTCAGCTACTCCCTCACTTTCAGTCATCTAAACATCTCAGATCATTTGTTCAACACCATGTCTCCAGGCTCATTCTGGGCCAAAGTGACTGACAATTTTCTTATAAAATTCACATTAGAAATTACCTTTTACATTACTCCCCTTCTTTTCTTTTCAATAGTACCACATGAATTAGGCCTTCACTAGCCTGACCCTGGACAAAAGTCTAATTTCTCTGAGCCTCAGTTTCACCTTCTGTAAAAAAGATAATATAAATTTTGGTGTTTCACATTTGTTGCGACTATCCACTAAAATAGTAAAACTGCTTCACCTATGAAGTAGGGCACAAATGGTATTATTAATGTGCACTGCTTTTTCTGAATGCTCAATTACTCCCTTCAAGACAAGTAATCTCTCACTCATATTTACAGCCCGAGTGCCCAGCACTATGCATTGTCTTAGCAGGATATTTATTGTATAATGAATGCAAGAAATCTGGCTGGTTACTTATGGTCAGGGCAGTCGGGGGGGGGGGGGCTCCTGTTGCACCCAAGAGGCATGCATTTCTTTTTTTTTTTTAAGATTTTATTTATTTATTCATGAGACAGAGAGAGAGAGAGGCAGAGGGAGAAGCAGGCTCCCTGCTGAGCAGAGAGCCCGATGCGGGACTCGATCCCAGGACCCTGGGATCATGACCTGAGCCGAAGGCAGACGCTTAACCATCTGAGCCACCCAGGCGCCCGAGGCATGCATTTCTTGTCATATTGTTCATATGAAAATGCAAGGGAGGGGCACCTGGCTGGCTCAGCTGGTGGAGCATAAGACTCTTGCTTTCTGGGTTTTAAGTTCGAGACCCGCGTTGAGTGCAGAGATTACTTAAAAACAAAATCTTTAAAAGAAAATGCAAGGGAACAGTTACGTCAGACACAGGTTGGATGGGGGCGCCTGGGTGGCTCAGTCCTTAAGCGTCTGCCTTCCGCTCAGGTCATGGTCCTAGAGTCCTGGGATCGAGCCCCGCATCCGGCTCCCTGCTCGGCGGGAAGCCTGCTTCTCCCTCTCCCCCTGCTTGTGTTTCCTCTCTGTGTCTGTCAAATAAATAAAATCTTATAAAAATAAAAAACAGGTTGGATGATACGACGGACGGGGTGTCGTCTGGGGACAGCGGCACAGTGTGGACCTACTGCAGGGTATCTGGGGCAAAGCCGGAAGGGGGTCTAAGCCCGGCTTCAAGTGGGAAGCCTGGGGTTGGCAGGACCTTCGGCGCCTAGCGGGGTCGGTGGCCTTTAGGTCCGTACCAGAGTGCCCTGTGTGGTGCGGCCTTGAGTTTCTGCCCGGCTGTAGCTCAGAAGAGACCGAGGGTACGGGGTGGGGTCGCAGGGCCACGGTCGGGAGGCCCGGAGCAGAGGGTCTTCTGAGGAGTTTGAATACACCTGCCTTACCTGAGGCTGCCGCAAATGTGTTATGCGCAACTATAGCAACTAATTACCTCTCGCGAGAATTTAGTTCTGGCAATCACAAGTTTATCCCAAGACTCGCGATAAAATTTTCGGGGAGGAAAACAGCGGTTCGGGAGGTTTCTGCGCCTGCGCTCTGGAACTGTGCGCATGCGCGGCAGCCTCCCTGCTCTAGGTCACTTTGTCCGCAAGTGCAATTTCCTTTTGGCATAAGCCGTGAGTTTTCCAACTTTCGATCCTGTTTTCTCGACTCCTTTCTTTCAATATCCCTACATAAATAGGAGAAAAACCAAGAGGAAATTTAGTTAAAATAAAAGCCTTTAGTACATGGTTTTAAAAACAGGTCTTTTAAATCCTCCTCCATGAACAATGCAGATTAACAGTATTTTAAAGTGACCCTCTGTGCTAAATGAAGTAAGTCAAATACCATATGATTTCAGTCATATATGGAATTTAAGAAACTTAAACGATGAACATGGGGGGGGGAAGAGCAAACCATAAAACAGACTCTTAACTGTAGAAGAACACACTGAAGGTTGCTGGAAGGGAGGGGGACCTGGCGGTGGAGAGGGGATGGGTTAAATGGATGATGGGTATTAAGAAGTACAATGTTGTGATGAGCACTGCATGTTCTATGCAAGTGATGAATCACTAAATCCTACACCTGAAACTAACATTACACTGTATGTTAACTAACTGGAATTTAAATAAAAACTTGGAAGAAAAAAAAGTGAGCTTCTCGTATACTGTTAGCGAGACTGCAAAACAGTCCTACCGCTCAATACTTATACAATAAACAGACTTGAAGTATATATTAATCCAAAATTTTAATACGTTCCAAACTCAACATTAGAGTTCTGGAATAGTAAACTACAATACCAAAACATGGAAACAACCGAAGTGCCCATCAATGGAAGAGTGAATAAACTGATATATATGAAATATATATATATATATTCACAAAATAGCATATTACAAAGCAGTCTAAATGAATTATAGCTACTACATGGATTAATCTTAGCAATATACATATTTTCAAATGTTGTAATGTTAAGAGCCAGCTTGAAGAGCCACTGGCCAAATCAGACAATTTGGGAATCAAAATAAACAATGTTAATGGATTACAATCTGTTGAGTAAAATAGGAATCTACAAGTTCACATTGATATAGATAAATGGAGAGAAAGGAAAACTCTAACAGTAGAATGCCAATCCAATAAGACAAAGAAAATGGTGGAAATAGAGAATTACCATTTGGCACACACTATAGAGGTGGATGATTCAGGCAGGAGTCTGTAGTGGATGGGAGGAGGTTTGATGAGAAGATACTGGCATGATTTTGGAATACTAATCAATTACAAAGGAGAAATGGTGAAATGAAGAAACCAACAAGATCATGTGATTAAGGTTAACCACCAGGGTTGGGAGGAGTCTACATTGCATGCCTCCTGTTGAGACTCACTGGGAAAAGCAAAGCATCATTTTGTTGTGTTCCTGCCATCAGAGGGACTCAGGTTGTAGGCCACCCTATTGAAAGACTTTCAAAGACTGGCTCCCTGCTCTGCAGGGAGGCTGGTTCTCCCTCTCCCACTGCCCCTGCTTGTGTTCCCTCTCTCGCTGTGTCTCTGTCAAATAAATAAAATCTTAAAAAAAAAAAAAATAAGGGGCACCTGGGTGGCTCAGTCGTTAAGTGTCTGCCTTCGGCTCAGGTCATGATCCCAGGGTCCTGGGATCGAGCCCCGCATCAGGCTCCCTGCTCTGTGGGGAGCCTGCTTCTCCCTCTCCCCCTTCTTGTGTTCCCTCTCTTGCTGTGTCTCTCTCAAATAAATACATAAAATCTTATAAAAAAGAAACTGTCGAAGACATAAAAGATGGGGAACTATTCCAAATTAAAGGACTATTGGACAGGGGCACCTGGGTGGCTCAGATAGTAAAGCATCTTCCTTCGGCTCGGGTCATGATCCCAGGGTCCTGGGATCGAGCCCCACGTCCGGCTCCTGGCTCAGCCAGGAGCCTGCTTCTCCCTCTGCCTCTCGCCCTGCTCGTGCTCTATCTCTGTGTCTCAAATGAATAAAATCTTAAAAAAAAAAAAAAAGGACTATTGGACATAAAGGACATGAAGATACATGACAACTAAATGCAAAATATATTCCTGTACATACAGTATTTTGGACGAGAAGAGAGACATTGTTGGCACAGTAGGCAAAATTTGAATGGCCTCAATGGATTGGATGGTAGTGTACCAAAATTGATTTTCTGATCTGGAAGGTTGTTTGCTTTTATGTAGGAGACTGTCCCTGTTTAGGGGAAAATACACAATGGAGTGTTTAGAAGTCATGGAACGTCATGTCTGCAGTTTGCTCTGTCAATCCTCAAAATGTCCAGAAAGACTAACAATAAAGAATATACGCGTATGTGCCCACATGCACACACACACACAGTGAGCAATGAAGCAATAAAACGTTAATTATATGAGAATCTGGATGAAAGGGATATTAAAATTCTTTGCACTATTTTGGCAACTTTTCTGTACATTGACAATTATTTCAATAGCTATACACACACACACACACACACCACTCTCCATGGAGATGTGAGGATACAGAATTACCAGATCCAAATTTTAAAAATAAGTTTTATTTCTGCTATAAACATTAAAATTATAAAAATTAAGAAAAGATCTTTTAAATGTTGCAGTGTTATAATTTTTAAAAAATAGACCCATGGAGCTATTAAGGCATTTCTCTCCGGACTTTTTTTCCCAGGTGAGGGCTGTGAGTGAATTTGCACTGAGATAGCCATCCTACCTTGTGCATGAAATACTTTTTTATGTAATAAGTGAAGGTTAGGGCCAAGTCTTTGGTAGGGAACTAGATCACTCATGATGCCTAGGCACGAAAGGATAAGTACAGGTGTCACTTCCTTAAACATAATTAACCACTGTCAATAGACAATGACAGACAGTGCCTGAGGGCAAACCCTTGTGTTCTAGTTCTTTTTTTCTCCTGGAATGCTTAGCAGTGGCCACTCTGAATTTCCTATAGTCCTTACCAGGAAAGGCATTCAAATGTTTTTTTGACTGGTTTAAAACCTCAACTTCATAAGAAAACATGGAAAAGAACCCTCTTTAATGCTACAGAAAATACAACAGTACTGAATAACAGAATTGAATTATCTACACATACAAACGAGTTTGGGGGCAAAAAAAGCTATAATACCTAATAAAATTCAAACTCTTTAGTTTGTGTTTCAAAGACCTCCACTAAATGACTATCACAACAAACTCCTTTCTCATTACTCCGAAAGACTTGTTTCCAATTAGCTAATCTGTTATTTCCAATTTATTTCTGATAGCATCCAATAATACAATCAAATGTATTGCTCACGGGGTGCCTGGGTGGCTCAGTCGTTAAGCGTCTGCCTTCGGCTCAGGTCATGATCCCAGGGTCCTGGGATCGAGCCCTACATCGGGCTCCCTGCTCGGCTGGGAGCCTGCTTCTCCCTCTCCCACTCCCTCTGCTTGTGTTCCCTCTCTAGCTGTCTCTCTCTCTGTGTCAAATAAATAAAATCTTTTAAAAAAAATGTATTGCTCACCCTCAAATTGATTTAGAGTCAAAGCAATCACTATCAACATCCCAGATGATTTTTTTTTTGCAGAAATTGACAAGCTGATTCTAAAATTTGTATGGAAATGCAAGAGAGCCAGAATAGCAAACACAATCTTGAAAAAGAACACAGTGGAGGACTCACACTTCCCAATTTCTAGCTTATTACAAAGCTAGTTATCAAGTAATTAAGTACAGCTTAATCAAGGCATAAGGATAAATGTATAGACAAATGGAATGGAAAGTTCAGAAATAAAACTTTGTCTTTATGGTCAGTGATCTCTGGCAAGACTGCCATGACCATTCAATGGGGGAAAGAACAGTCTTTTCAACAAATGATTGTAGGACAACCATATATCCAAATGCAAAAGAAAGAAGTTGGACACCTACCTCACCATATGTAAAAATGAACTAAAAATGTCAAAGACCTAAATATAAGAGCTAAGATCATAAAAATATTAGAGGAAAACATATGGGTAAATCATGCTAAGCTTTCATTAGACAATGGTTTCTTAGACATGACACTGAAAGCACAAGTGACCGAAGAATAGAAATATTGGACGTCATCAGAATTTTAAACTTTTGTGCATCAAAGGACACCAAGAAAGTAAAAAGAGGGCACCTGGCTGGCTCAGTTGGTAGAGCATGCAACTCTTGATCTTGGGGTTGTGAGTTTGAACCCCATGTTGGGTGTAGAGATTACTTTAAAAAAAAAAGAGTTAAAAAAAAAAAGTAAAAAGGCAATCCACAGAATGGGAGAAAATATTTGGAAATCTATAGTGAGTGGATATATAATTCTTTGTGTATTACGTTTTTCTATCTTAAAAAACTTTTCTGACTGGGAAGTGACTACTTCCTCCCTGGTATGCCCATTCATTGAGATAACAAAGGTCCCAGCAAGGAGCATGCCTTTGATGTACAAACTAACCGATCCAGAGTCATACCTCCTATATCAGGCCCTCACCACAGGAGGCAATATTCCTCTGCCTTAATTATCCCTGGGCCAGGTATGAGGACATTAGAGACCACTCATGTAGCCCAGATACTCACAGAATTACTCAAACTAGCCAATAATGAACTGTTTGCCCTGTCCTGCTTTGCCTTTCCAGAAACCCCAATAAAGGTCATGACCTAAGCATTCCCCTGGGCCTCCTGACCACCCTGGTGTCTTTCCCATGTGGCCCTGTGTGTGCAGTGCCTCTTGTCTCTAGGATGTTTGAGTATAATAAATTGTTTTCCTGAGCCTCTCCTGGGTATCCTCTTGTGGCTGCATCTAAACTAACCATTTCATAAAAGAATAGAGAACAAAATCATGTAAGGGTCTACTATACAGAATAATACATAAATAACCCTTACAACTCAACAATAAAGAGACAACCAATTTTAAAATGGACAAAATATTAAAAGACATTTTTCCAAAGATAATGCAAATGGACAATAAGCACAAGAAAAGTCATTAGGAAAATGCACATCAAAGCCATAAGGAGAAGTCACTTCACATCCACTAGGATGGCTATAATCAAAGAGACAGATAATGATAGTGTTGGGTTAGGATGAAGAGAAATTGGAAGCTGGGTTCACTGCTAGTAGGACTGTAAAATGGTGCAGCTGTTTTGGAAAACAGTTTGGCAGATCCTCAAAAAGTTAAACATAAAGATACTGTGATCCAGCAATTCCACTCCTAGTTCTAAAGTCAACAGAACTGAAAACACATGTCCACACAAAAACTTGTACATAAATATTCACAGCAGCATTATTCATAATAGCCAAAAGGTGAAAACAACCCAAATGTCCATCAACTGATGCATGGACAAAAAAAATGTATGTCCTTATAGTGGATTATTCAGCCACAAAACAGAATGAAGTATTGACTCACACTACAACACAGATGAGCCCTAAAAAAAAGTATGCTAATTGAAAGAAGCCAGACATAAGGGCCACATATTGAATGATTCCATTCATATGAAAAGCCCAAAATAGGTAAATCCATAAAAACAGAAAGTAGATTGGTGATTGCCAGGGGCGGGACAGAAGGAGGGGGAATGAGGAGTGGCTACTGGTAGGCCTAAAGTTTCTTTTTGGATGATGAAAATGTTCAAAATTGATTATGGTGATGATTGCACAATCTGAATATGCTAAAAACCACTGAAGTGTACACTTTAGAAAGGTGAATGGTATATAAATTATATCTCAATTTTCAAAAAGTTTAAAAATATATTGCTCATATCTTTTCTTTCCTGAATACCTTACCCCCACTTCCCGTATTACCAAATCCCATCACTGTTACTTTTTCAAAATCTACATCAAAACTCACCTTTTTCAATGAAACTATTTCAAAGTAATTAACATCCATCTTAACTCATTATCCTTCTACCCATATATCTTGCCTTCACTACAACTGTACAGAGAGAGGTCTATCTCTCTTAGAGTAAGGTTGTATCTTATACCACCTTATATGCCCCTTGGTATTTACACAAAACCAATGTTCATTGAACTATAATTGATATTTACTGTTCTTCTCAATTCTGAGTATAAGCATTCACCAAATCTGTATTATATTTCTGCTTTGTGCTGGGAAGCTTCACACAAAGAATAAATAGGGTTCTCATCCTCAGCAGAATTTATCATCTAGTATTTACAATTTTTTTGTCTTAATTTTTGTTTAGAGCCCCCAGTATATTACAAACCTCCTTTGTGTTTCTCCTGACTACCTATTATAATGTTCAATATACTCAATAAGTAATTGCTCAGTAGTGGGGATAAGCCAATGGGTTTTGTAATCATCCTGCTACACCACTAATTGAGCTTCTGAACTACTTCTCCAAAGAGCTGGGATCCAATTTTCCCATACTGTAAGCTTCATTCACTAATTAAGCTCCTCCTTCCTATATATGTCAAGCTTCACTTTCTTCAATCATGATTAAATTGTAACTAATTTTTAAAGTCTTTCATAATGTTTTTTTTAAAACCAAGGGCCAATAAAGATCTTTAGGGAGTTTTAGACATAGAGATAGGCTATATATTTTATGCATATAAACATATAATCCCTTTTTTTAAAAGGTGCTATAGGCAATACTCATCCCTTTCCTATATGGAAAGTTTAGTGTTTATAAATATAGAATATCAATTTATGTAAAATAAGATGCAAATTACTCTAAGTCAAAAGAGCTGAATCTTTAAAAAAGTAATACAGTTTTGACATAAGACCACTATAACTGTCCAATGGACCTACCAGGGCTTTGGAAGGCAGAGTTTCGCAACTTTTTCTTTTATTCAGCTTTATTATGCAGAATTAGAAACTACTGTGATTTTTATTCAACTTGGGATCCTGATTAGAAGAGCAGTGAGATTTATGCCTTACAAACATTGCATTATTAGTACATCATTGTGATATGGCTTCACCCTGATTGTACATAGAGAAAAAGTAACATTGGAATTAAGGCAATAACCACATGTGCAAACCAAGCACAATACCCTGACACAGTCCTTGGTAAAAAGCTCTTTTGCTTAGGTGGTGGTTGATATTGCTGCATGCAGGTCAATTACTGAAGGATATGCTTCATTTATTTAAAAAATCCCTCCTACTGGCCCACGATGGCCAGAAGCAGCTTTCGGTAATCTCCACTTGTGTCACTTGCGATCATTGTGCCCAGGGTCTTCTGATACATCTGACTGAACATCTGTTTTATTTGTACAAGATCAATCTGCATGCAAGAGATGATATTTTTGATGTTAGAAAAAAGTATTAAAAGAAAACTGATATTTATTAGAATTATTCTTTAATAATGAAAAGAACCTAATTATAATCAAAGCTTGGTGGGGGGACCAAATGACCAACATTTGATAGGTAGCATTCATACCAATGCTAGCATTACCCAGGAAAGGGCTGATTCACTGTTCTCTAAAAATACTGAATAAGGGTGGTACCAGTTTCATCTATTATCCTCAAAATATTGGTCATTTAAAAACAATTAAAAAAATAAAACCATTTGATAGGATGGTTATTCTCAAAAACACAGAAAATAACAAGTGTTGGCAAGGGTGTGGAGAAATTAGAACCCTTGTAACATTGCTAGTGGGACTATAACAGTGCAGCCGCTGTAGAAAAAGGTTTGGTGATTCCTCAAAAATAAAATAAAACAGAACCACCATATGATACAGCAGTTCCACTTCCAGGTATACACAAAAAAGCGAAAGCAAGGACTCAAGCAAATATTCGTACACCTGTGTTTACAATAGCCAAAAGGAGGAAGCAACCCTAGTGTCCACTGACAGATGAATAAACAGAAGGTGGTCTACACATACAATGGAACATTATTCAGCCTTAAAAAGAAATTCTGACACATGCTACAACATGGATGAACCTGGAAAATGTTATGCTAAGTGAAAGAAGCCAGTCACAAATGGATAAATACTGTATGATTCCACTTATACAAGGTACCTAGAGTAGTCAAATTCATAGGAAGAGAAAGCATAATGGTTGCCAGGGGCTGGGGGGAGAAAGGAGAACAGTGAATTATTATGAGTATGGATTTCGGTTTTATGAAAGTGAAAAAGTTGTGGTGGTAATGGCTGTACAACAATGTGAATGTACTTAATTTAAGCCACTGGAATGAACACTTTAAAATGGTTAAAATGTTAAGTTTTATGTTGTGTATATTTTATTACGATTTAAAGAAGAGATCATGCTTAGAAAACTTAGGTCCAAGTACAAATACACAGTTTTTTAAAAACAATTTATGTAATTTATGTAAAATAAGATAGATGCAAATTACTCTTCTAAGTCAAAAGAGCTGAATCTTTAAAAAAGTAATACAGTTTTGACATAAGACCACTATAACTGTCCAATGGACCTACCAGGGCTTTGGAAGGTAGAGTTTTGCAACTTTTTCTTTTATTCGGCTTTATTATGCAGAATTAGAAATTGCTGTGATTTTTATTCAATTTGGGATCCTGATTAGAAGAGCAGTGAGATTTATGCCTTACAAATATTGCATTATTAGTACATCATTGTGATACGGCTTCACACTGATTGTATACAGAGAAAAATGGTTGTCTTTATGAAACTGATTTACCTTCTCTACTATAATTTAGTGGCATGTTTTCTTTCAAGTAAGAAAGAAGTCCAATATATATACAAAGTCAAAGAAAGGAAAGCATTTGAGGTATATTTAGGTGAAGAGAAAAAGATAAGTTTTTAAAAATTATTTTATAATTAGAAGGCATGCCAAATTTCAAGAATTTTTGTATCCAATAGGATTAATCTTTCATACAATTTTTTACATTAGTAAAATAAAAAACATTTTCCAACTTGACATAAATCAGTATTCTCCACAGACTTTCTCAAGTAGAAAAATCTCTTGGCACTGCCTACACTGAGACACAGTGGTCTGTTTCACTAACCCAATCCTCTCTCACGGCATGAGGAGAGTGAACACTGTGCTTTAATACAGCCTCTACCAGCGGTGACAAAGGGAGTTCGCTCTTAACATCCCTCCTACTCCCCAGCTGAGGAACTTTTAGGAAATCAATATTCAGAATCAAGTTAAGCTCAGGGGCGCCTGGGTGGCGCAGTTGGTTAAGTGTCTGACTTTTAATTTTGGCTCAGGTCATGATCTCAGGGTCCTGGGATAGAGCCCTACATGGGCTCACACTCGGGGGAAGGGGGATCTGCTTGAAGATTCTCTCCCTCTACCCCTCCCCCCCTGCATTTTCTACCCTCCCTTCTCTCTCTCAAATAAATAAATCTTAAAAAAAAAAAAAAAATCAAGTAAGATCAGACAAGAAAAGAAAGCCTCACCTCACTTCGAGTGACCACAATCCTGACCAGGGTGGAGTCATCTGTGCCGGCACCTTTCATAGAATAGTAGAGCCTCTCAGCAAAGAAGGCAGGGCGGTTCAGGGCACATTGCACTGCAAGTTAGAGATACTTGACACATGATGCCTTGACAAAGGTATCCATGCTCCAGCTTCATTTATCACTTCTAGCCTGCCTTTGATCCTTATAATCATAGCGAAATCTTGACTTTTCTCAGCATTCATCTATCTTTCTAGCTGCATCAGACAGGCTACCTTTAATCTAAAGGAATCCTTCTCCCAATAAATCCCTCTTTTCCTCCATAGATGCAAGAGCTTAGATTCTTTACATTTTTTCCCCTTCAAGTGAGAAAATCTGTGACAACTGCGCCCTGGTGATATCTTACTTAAAAGAAATAATGACTGAAATATCTGAATTCTAGACATCAGTTATATCATTTGGCTGACAGAAGGGTAGGAGATACATTCCAGTATAAAAAACAGATTTGAGCCTAAATTTGAGAATGATAATAAGTCTGACATTTTCTCTTCGGAAAATTAACTTAGCAAAGTCTCTTCCTGCAGATGGTAGAGATATACTAACTTTACATTATTCCTTTAGCTACAATTACTACAGGAATATTTGTAGGACACTCAATTGCTAATACCAATGTGTTACTAATACTCTTTCGTCATATATTCTCCATGAGAATTTCCATTTCATTGGACATCTCAAAGAACACCACAAACTGGGTTTTGTTCTTGCTTTTATTTCAAAAGGGAAAAGGGTCTCATTGGGCTGAATATTTGAAAGGTGTTTTCTGAGGCGCACCTGGTTGGCTCAGTCAGGGGTTGATCTCGGGGTTGTGAGTTCAAAACTGACACTGGGTGGAGAGATTATAAATAAACTTTTAAAAAAGGTGGTTCTGGATGCCTGGGTGGCTCAGTTAAGCATCTGCCTTCAGCTCAGGTCATGATCTCAGGGTCCTGGGACTGAGCCATGCATTAATAATAATAATTAATAATTCCAAAGAACCCTTTTTGATCACACCACCTGTATTTAAAAACATAGAATTAGCTCAACCTCTGCCTAAGCAGATTCCCAGGAGGCTATATTAATTGTCGTCACTTAATGGAAACAACTATTCAAAGCTTCTTCATCTACAAACAAAACAAAGCAAAACATAAAAGTATCTTACAGATGGTCTTTAAACCACTTTCAACACTTCCAGAAAATTCACGGGCAACACTACTTAACAAATCTCGATTAGCCACCTGCAAACAAAAAGTATAGGGGTTAAAATATTTTCACAACTTAAAAACTGAAGCCAAATCTTCAAAAGAAAAGCTCATACCCTGGAATAAGCCTCCAGAGTAGCTTTCAGCTGAGGAAAGCTTCTTGTGGCAAGAATCATGTTAAAGCAAGATTCATCTGTCCCTAGTCTCCCTTCACCGGCTTGATAGAGACGTTGAGCATCTTCCTGAGCCAACTGGTGGTTAACATTCTGGTTCTCATCACGATTTCCCTGCAAAAGAGGAAGGCAGGAATTGGAAAACCTGATACAAGTTCTACTAAAAATTTTCTTACCAATCTAGTCATTTTTGGACTTAAAGGGACAATTTATTGAAGATCACTGCATAAAGTTTGTCGTGCATATCTTCATTTCCAAAGAAGCTGTACTAGCATAACTAGTACTTTATTATACTGCCAACTTTGGAGTTTATAATATTCGATCATGGCTTAATGAGGTTATGTTAAAATGAGAGGTTTTCAGGACGTTGAGGACAAAGTTAAACCAGAAAAGTTTCCATTAAAAAATTTATAGGGCGCCTGGGTGGCTCAGTTGGTTAAGCGACTGCCTTCGGCTCAGGTCATGATCCTGGAGTCCCTGGATTGAGTCCCACATCGGGCTCCCTGCTCGGCAGGGAGTCTGCTTCTCCCTCTGACCCTCTCATGCTCTATCTCATTCTCTGTCTCAAATAAATAAATAAAATCTTTAAAAAAAAAAAATTTATATATGGGGTGCCTGGGTGGCTCAGTCGTTAAGCTTCCGCCTTTGGCTCAGGTCATGATCCCAGGGTCCTGGGATCGAGCCCCACATCGGGCTCCCTGCTCAGCGGGAAGCCTGCTTCTCCCTCTCCCACTCCCCCTGCTTGTGTTCCCTCTCTCGCTGTCTCTCTGTCAAATAAATAAATAAAATTTTTTTAAAAAATTTATATATATATATTTATACAACCCACCCCCGCCCACAAAAAAAAAAAAAAGAAAGAAAAACATCTCTACTAGGAAATATAAACTACTCAAGTGAAGAAATTAATTCTCCTTAGCTGGGATTTAAGATCATTATGCGTTATACTGAGTTCCACTTTGTATTCATTCATGCAGCTAAAAGGTATAGAGCGCTTGTTTTGTGTGAGGCTGTATTAGTCAGAACCGACAGGATGTGCTAGGTGGTAGGGACACAAGAAAGACAAGGTCCCTGCCCTCAAAGAATTTAAGTCAAGGATGGGAACATATAATATGGAGGCTTCATGAACCTCCTTTCCTTCAACCAAGTGTAATCTCACAACATGTAAGTTTTATTTTGAATGTACACATACAAATGATACATGAGCTTTTTAGAAGCTATAAATAACTCAAGTTCTGCTGGACTATGCCAATTTGTATACCAAACTCTTCCTTGGGAAAAGGAGAGAGCCACAGAGGAAGCTCTGGGCCTGAAGGAGAGGAAAGCTTAGATGGGCATTTGGTTTCTCTCAAAAAATAGAAATACAAACCCAAAAGAAGGAAAGCCTGCCCTCTAGTCTCCGTGTCTGTCTGAGGAACAAAATGGAGAGGTGCTCCTTGAAGGGGAGATGCTGTATTCTGAAGAGCACTGGGCACAAGAAATATGCAGAAGCATATTCTATAATGGGAGACTAAAGATAGCACATGAAAAGATGTTCAGGAAAAACTCCCCAGCTGACTGCCTTTGGACTCAAATACACAACACCAGTCTCATTTTCCTGGGAAGCCATTCCTCTGCTCACTCCCTGAAAGAGGTCCCTTTACTTTATAAAATAGATGGGCCTTGAATTTGCATAGATTCAACACCTCATATAAAGTTTTAATCATTTTTTAGTGTTAAATCTGTTCCTGCTTTTGTCTTCCTTTTGTTGTTGTTTTTAAATGCTAATCTACCCCGTACTCTGTTATTCCATCGTAGGTAAGTTCAATTTCTTCCCATCCATTTGCTTTCTTTTTTCTCATGTCCACACCCACCCACTCACTCTGGCGTACTGTTTCCTGCAACTATCTCCCTTTGCTCTGAAGAGCTTGTCCTCTACTCTCTGATCCCTCTGGACTGTCCAACCTTGTGTACTAGCAGGAAAGCTAATAACTCCTGATGCTGAATCAGTGTGCTGGTCTTCTGTGTCATTCCTTTCAAATAAACCCTCATCATCTCATTCTGTAAGTGTGTTTAATATCATTCCAAATACTCTCTTCGGAGAATTTTTTGTCACTTCTCCAGCACATCTGGGAAATCAGAATAAGGAAGGTGCTAATCACAACATTACTGTCAAGTCTGAGAAATGTTTCTGCATTTCTGGCTCTCCTCAGTTTTCACCTCCTCTAGCACTTCCATGGCAGTCCTGCATATTTTCAGTTGATGGTCCAATTTAACTGACTGTACAATGCTAAGCTTAAAGTACAAGATTCATCCCTAGCCTAAAATATAGAGCTGCAAGTTGATTTCTGATTCCATATAACTTCAAAGAGGTTAATTTCTAATCCCTTACAAAAGCCAGATCTGAAGAAATCAATCTCAATTGTGACTAAAAGAAATTTGTACATAGGATTCTGTGTTACCCCTCTTAAAGATGGCAAGATTCCAAGTAGACTAAATACTAAAAGGAATAAAGAATGCTCACTGGTCACAGAAAGTGAAGAATGTTCCCTCCATCAACATATATTCATGCTGTACTCACCTGGCACATGGATACAAGTAAACGTTCAAAATGCCCTGATGTATCTGACCTAATGTCCTTTTCAAGGTCTCGTCCAAATTCTGATTGATAACATCTGACAATTTCTCGGATTTCCTGATTTGTTCTTGTGCACAAAATTTCAATCAATACACGTTCCTGAGTTCCTGCTCCCTATGTGAAATGAAGAAAGGGAGAATTATACAAAAGAAAAACAAAAATCGCTGGAAGTTAATTAAATCTTACTATTCCATCAAATATTTCTTTGGCCTCCAGACCTGAAAAGCCCTATATATTCAGATGATATTATGTATTGATTTAGCTGTCACTGTAAATTCAAAACTGCTATAACATGTGGGGTTTTACATTTGAAATAGGATAAAATATACAAAGTAAATGACATACAGCACCTTCATTGCATTCCGTAAACTCCAGGCATCATAATATGTAGATGGCATGAACAGGGCAAGGATCAGTTCTTCCATATTTCCACTTAACTCTGATTTAAGGTCTTTGATTAAATCCTGTTTAATTACAAATACAAACTAAGTATGTGTGCTCTCCAAATTTTGTTGCTTAAATTTTTTAAGAAAAATATGGAAAAATGGAATTGAGTTGCTTTATGAAAACCTAAATTTCAAACTTAAATAGTATATACTAGAAACAATATACATTTAAAGTTTGTTACACTCAGGCAAATATATTTTTTTAATTTAAAATCAATTAACATAGTGTATTATTAGTTTCAGAGGTAGAGTTTAGTGATTCATCAGTTGCCTCTAACACCCAGTGCTCATTACATCAAGTACCCTTCTTAATGCCCATCACCCAGTTACCCCCTCCCCCCCTGCCCCACCCCTTTCAGCAACCCTCAATTTGTTTCCTATAGTTGAAAGTCTCTTAGGGTTTGTCTCCCTCTCTGATTTCATCTTATTTTTCCTTCCCTTCCCTTATGCTCATCTGTGTTGTTTTTTAAATTCCACATGTGAATGAAATCATATGGTATTTGTCTTTCTCTGACGGACTGATTTCGCTTAGCATAATACAGCCTAGTTCCATCCACTTCGCTGCAAATGGCAAGCTGCGATCAATCTTTTTGATGGCCAAGTAATATTCCATGGTGTATTTCCATATTTTGGCTATTGTGGACATTGCTGCTATAAACACTGGGGGGCACATGCCCCTGGAATCACTATGTTTGTATCCTTTGGATAAATATCTAGTAGTGCAATTGCTGGGTCATAGGGTAGCTCTATTTTCAACTTTCTGAGGAACTTCCATACTGTTCTCCAGAGTGGCTGTACCAGTTTGCATTCCCACCAAGAGTACAAGAAGGTTCCCCTTTCTCTGCATCCTCGCCAACATCTCAAGCAGATGTATTTTAGTTATTTATTAAAGATTTATTTGAGAAAGAGAAAGAGAATGCACATGAGTGGGGAGAGTGGCAGAAGGAGAGGAAAGAATCCCCAAGCAGACTTGCCTGCTGAGCAAGACGCCTAACACAGGGCTCGATCCCAGGACCCTGAGACCATGACTTGAGCCAAAGTCAAGAGTCAGTCACTTAACTGACTGAACCACCCAGGCACCCCTCAAGCAGATGTATTTTACTCATTCTACCAATAAACACTTAATAAATTCCTACTATAGTTTCACTATACCAGGTACAAAGATAGATACATGAAATAAAGAATTAAGATTAACAAAATGATAAACAGATATTTGTTTCACACAAGAAACTGTTCTTGTTCTGTGCAGAAGTAGGAATCATCATCACTGTGTTCTTATTCGGAAAGATAAACATCTAAAAAGAGATAATATAAGGCAGCCTCCACTCCAGTACCAGATGAGTAAACGGCACATAGATAACCAGCAGAAAAAGCTGAAACAGAAGAAGTTAAACTGGGCTAGAGAACTCCGAGAAAGCTTCTAGTCCAGATCTTAAAGAGTATATAAACATTAGCAGGCAAAGAGGAAGGAGAAAGATATTTCAGGCGAGGAGGAGGAACATAAATGAGAAACAGAAAACATGGTTCCCAGTCTTGGCTATGCACACACACACGATGTAGAGGACAAATACTCAGAGATTCTGCATGTGTTTTAAGTTTGAAAGGAGATTATGATGCTCAGCTAAGGTTGAGAATCACCAGTATGAGGCAAGAATGAGCAAAGCTTGTTTAATGAAGAAGATAACCAACTTTGTTAGAGGAGAATGTTCTCAAAGATTAGTGAGACACAGTTTTAACGATACGCTTGTGTTATTACCTTGAACACCAAACTAAAGAATGTGGATTTGATTCTGCATACCGGGAGGAGCCACTGGAAGCTTTTATGCAAGAAAAAGACACTGAAATGACAACCATAGGCCGTATGGACTGTGACGATAAAGAGACTTTAGATAAGAACATTTTTGCAACCAGATCACTTAGGTAAGAAGTAATAAAGGCTTGGATTTGAGTGGTGGATTTGAGATAGAAGACAAATTTTAAAAGAACCCTTTACATATTAGATCAAGGAGATATTGTCAGTAACTGGATGCTAGGACAAAGTGCCTGGCATACAGTAGGCACTGAATGAGTACTCACAGACTGATTGATAAAGAAGAATGTGGAATCAAGGACAACTCCACAACAAATGATATTTGTATTAATTAGTAGGAAGCCAAGACAAAAGGGGGCTGGGAGCAAAAAAAACACAGGCTGTGAATTTAGTTTTAATTCTAAACTGATATAGGAGAAAATTCAGGACAGCATAGCACAGGCTATATATTAACTAAAGAGATTCATAATACAGAAAATACTTTCGTTAGAGAAGTGAATCTGATGTTGAACCCTAAGGAAATCTAGAGTTTGTGTCGCTTCATCAGCTTTAAGACTAAAGAAGTAGATCTGGGCCAGGCAGAGAGAGTAAGGCAGAGTAGAATAGATGAAGTCGGACAAACCAAGGAACCTCTATTCCCATTCTGAGAAAAGTAAACTGGATCCAGAGCATGTTAGGAAATTTTAGGATTCCCATCTAAATGGAAAAACAATGCTACCCAGCTTTCCCCTTTATATCTAAGAAGGAATAGTGCTTTTTACCCATTGAATCTTGCTCGATTTTGTCACTGATCATCCATTCAGCAAACATTGGTTTTGTTTTTTTAAGATTTTATTTATTTATTTGACAGAGAAACAGAGAGAGAGAGAGCACAAGTAGGCAGAGCAGCAGACAGAGGGAGAGGGAGAAGCAAGCTCTCGCTGAGCAGGGAGTCCGATGCGGGGCTTGATCCCAGGACTGTGGGATCATGACCTGAGCCGAAGGCAGACGCTTAACAGACTGAGGCACCCAGGTGCCCCTCAGCAAATATTTATTAAGTGGCTATTTGTTATTATTCCTATACTTGGTGCTGAAAATGCCCAGATGAATTGGACGTGGTTTGCCTGAGGGGAGCTCATTGCTGCAGGGAGTAGGGAATGAGATCAGTTACGGCAGAGGTTTTACAAAATGTGACTGGACCACAGTGAAAGCAGCAGCAAAATTCTGCTCTGAGAAATCAAACTTCATAGTAGCTGATTCAAGCTAAATCCTGAAGAAGCTGTTTGCCATGAAGAAAAAAAGAGGAAAAGGTGTTCTAGGCCAAGAGAACAATGTATACCAAACATAAAGGTCTGAAAGACCATGACATTTGCGGTGAATGGCAAGAAGTTACATGCATCATAATATAGGATATATTTAGAGGGAGGAAGAGGAGTGGAAGAGGATGCCAAACACCAAGAATAAGTAGGGGCTGTATAGTAAGTCCTTGAACCCCACTGTAAAGGAGACTGTGAACCATACTATTTCTCTATTACACTATTTATCTACCTATTTGATATAATAAATTTATCTATTATCAGTTATGCTATTGTGGCCATAATCTATTTTCTACTGAGTATCTATCACATATCAGACATCATATGAGGTATGAGTAGGACTATGAGATCAAGGACTACTCCAGAATTAGAAAGGCTTTTGAGAGAAATAAATAGTGAACACACCACTCCTGGGGTCTCTGAAATCTAGCTGTCTCTACTTCTCACCACCAGCACTAATAAAACAATAGTATACAACCTAAAATAAACATGGAGCCTATAGGCCACTGTTTGTGGCCAGGAAAGAAAAAAATATATATACCTTGCCATACATGGTCTTAAAAGCTGCTTTAATTTTTTGCCTCTGATCACTGGAACGGCTGGCCACAACGTCCACAATTGCCTGCTCGTCTGTGCCTGGAAGAACCATACATGTTTAAGTTAGGGTGAATTCTGTACTGGGTATTCCCTGAGGACATCTCTTACATGCTTACAAGGTGCCTGGTGTCAGATTAAATTGAGTTATGTGCACAGGTGGACACATAAATTTGATTTAAAAAATAAAGCTTATTGTTACTTTAGATTCAGTCACTTGAAATTATCAATAAGATTAAAAACCTGTTTTCCTTACCAAAACCCTTCATTGCTTTCCGAAGAATTTCTGCGTCTCTCATGGCATCGAAGTTGGCAGCTGGCTGGACTGTTCCTTGAACTCCCTGAGTCATCGCAGCAGGCTGAAAAAAGAGGCATAAAATCCAAGTCAGGGATTGTGCTAATCATTTCATAAGATAACATTACATCAGGGGCCCCTGGGTGGCTCAGAGAGTTAAGCGTCTGCCTTCAACTCAGGTCATGATCCCAGGGTCCTGGGATCAAGCCCTGCGTCAGGCTCCCTGCTCGGTGGGGAGTCTGCTTCTCCCTCTCCCTCTGCCTCTCACCCTGCTTGTACTCTCTCTCCCTTGCACTCTCAAATAAATAAAATTTAAAAATAAAATAAAAATAAAAATACATCAAATCATCATGTTGTACACCCAAAACTAAAACGATGTTACATGTTACTTATATCTCAATAAAACTGGGGAAGAAACAAACATGAAAATATTTTAAACGTCTTTAGTAAAAGAAATACAAATTTATTATTATTTTTTAAGATCTTATTTATTTGAGGCGCTGGGTGGCTCAGTCGTTAAGCGTCTGCCTTCGGCGCAGGTCATGATCCCAGTGTCCTGGGATCGAGCCCCTGCATCGGGCTCCCTGTTCGGCGGGAAGCCTGCTTCTCCCTCTCCCACTCCCCCTGCTTGCATTTCCTCTCTCACTGTGTCTCTCTGTCAAATAAATAAATAAAATCTTTAAAAAAAAAGATTTTATTTATTTGAGAGAGAGAATGAGAGAGAGAGAAAAGCACATGAGGGGGTGAGGGTCAAAGGGAGAAGCAGACTCCCCGCTGAGCAGGGAGCCTGATGCGGGACTCGATCCCCGGACTCCAGGATCATGACCTGAGCTGAAGGCAGTCGCTTAACCAACTGAGCCACCCAGGCGCCCCCAAAAATATAAATTTTAAGTCAGGATTCTCTGCTGACAAGACAACTTAAGACTTCCCCAGTCATCACTCTTAGCTAAGGAGGTCATGTTTGTTTTAGGACAAAGAATATGAGCATTTTATTATGAAGGCTCATTCTGGAACAGGCAAGAAAGACCTATCCTCTCCCTGCCAAAAGACAGCTAAACACCAAACTTTCAGGAGATAAGAAAAGTCAAGCTTGTGAAACTTGTCACAATCTTCCTATGTCTTGATTTCCTTCTTAGAACAGCAGGAAAGAAAGAAATTGATCCCTGGATAGTGTGAGATGAGCAGCAGTGTTTGATTTAAAGATAATAATATAATAAGGATTTTAGTTAGGTAGACATTGAGCTGCCCAATGAGGTTTCAAACAAGCAATATAATTTTTTTAAAAGATTTATTTGAGAGAGAGAGCACACAAGCAAGGGGGAGGGACAGAGGGAGAAGCAGACTCCCCGCTGAGCAGGGAGCCCGACGCAGGGCTTGATCCCGGGACCCTGGGATTATGACCTGAGCCGAAGGCAGATGCTTAACCAACTGAACCATACCAGGTGCCCCCTATGTACAATTTTTATTACATTTTTAAGTCTGAAGTGATTTCAAAATCTAAAAAAATTTGAAAATACACAGCTAGGAAACAATTCAATAGTTTTCTTAAACTATTCAAATCAGGGCTTAAGAGAGATGGGATGAAGTGAGATGGTATTTCACCACAGTTTTTTAAAACTGAATTTTAGTAATATATTTTATTTAACCCATTATCTTTAAAATATCATTTAAAGATGCATTCAACATGACTGCAAAATATAAAATGACTCAATTGCTTTTTAGGCAACTGAAACTGCATTTAAAGTTATACCCACTGAATATAGCAATATGCCAGCAACTGCAGGGGTAAATTAATGGGGAGAAAGGGAACAGACCATTTTTTAGCAAACATTCTTAGGGTCAATAATTTCTCCCACTTACCTATATTCTCACACAACATTTTTTTCTAACAACCATCCTGCACTATGAATATAGTGCCAGGAATATAAGCAGGGAACTAACAAATATTTGTATAGTGGTTTTAAGAAAAAATTCTCAACTGCAAATATTCAAGTATAATTTTTTTTTCTTTTTTAATATTTTATTTATTTGACAGAGAGAGAGAGAACACAAGCAGGGGGAGCGGCAGGCAGAGGGAGAGGGAGAAGCAGGCTCCCCGCTGAGCAAGGAGCCCGAAGCAGGACTCGATCCTAGGACCCCAGGATCATGACCTGAGCCGAAGGCAGACACTTACCCGACTGAGCCACCCAGGCGCCCCTAAATTTTTTTTTTCAACATAAGCCTTTACATGAGCCTTATGGTATCAAGAAACTAAGAAAGGTTCCTTTGATGTAAGCACCTTCACTAAAATCCTAAGTTAGGGCAAAAAGCCTTTGGACTGGACTAGGCAGTAAGAGAAACTAACCCCCAACATGTACTATTTGATGATTCTCATTTTCTGTTATACTCTTCTTTCTTAAAAAACAAAAACTGGGATGCCTGGGTGGTACAGTCAGTTAAGCATCTGACACTTGGTTTCGGCTCAGGTGGTGATCTCAGGGTCATGGGCTTGAGCACGGAGTCCACTTGAATTTCTCTCTCCCTTTCCCTCTGCCCCTACCTCCCAGCGTGCACGCTCACTCTCAAATAAATGGGTTGCCTGGGTGGCGCTGTCAGTTAAGTGTCCAACTTATGGTTTGGCTCAAGTCGTGATCTTGGGGTCATGAGATCAAGCGCCAGGTCAGGCTCCCTGCTCAGCAGGGAGGCTGCTTAAGACTCTCTCTTAATACATGTGCATGTGTGTGTGTGTGTGTGTGCGCGCTCGCTCTCTCTCCCAGATAAATAAATCTTTAAAAAATCTTAAAAAAAAAACTACTCCAATTTTCATCTGTAGGAAAAAATGGATTTGTCTTATTCTATGTAGAAAGTCTACATTTGAAGTGAATCTTCATCAAAAGTACTATCCTCCAGCCATTATACTAAATTAAAGGAAATCAGGGTCTATGTTCTAGATGTCAAAACTCAAACTAGGGAAAATTTCTCAGCACAGTATCTGCCACCAAAAGTTCCCCCCTTTGACACTCATTTGATGCCAACCTTCCTGCTGAAAAACAAAATTGGGTCAATCAGGAAAGGTCACCTGGCCCAAATGCCCAACCAAGACACAAATTTTCATTTCCCTTAACACACACACACGCACATCTACCAGAGGACTTTCAGTGACAGGGAGTTCTCTCCTCACAAGGTAGCCTACTCCACCTCCATGTAAAATATCTTCCAAAATCTATCACTCTGTAAACTTCCACCTACTGGTTTTAGTTCTATCTTAAGGTAGTAATTGTTACACATGAGTTACATGTGTATATGTGTTTCATTTTTAGTGTTTTATGTTTGAAAATCTTTTATAATCAGTCATAAAATGTTTCTAAAGCTATGTGCATGCTTAAGCTAAAATAAAATAAAAATTCTCATTAAAATAGTTACAGATTTACAATATCATCAACAATCAATAATAAAAAAAAGGATCAAAAGCAGTTCTCTATGTGCTTTGAAGGAATACCATTTAGAGTATCAGCAAAGCAGCACTGTGTAACAGGAAGACTACTGGTCTGCGAGTCAGAAGAGCTAGATCTAGTCTTAACTTTGTCTTTCACTAGCTGTGTGGCCCTGAACAAGTTTCTTAATCTCTCTGGAGATCAAATTCCTTAAATCAAGAAAGTAAGCCAGAAAATAGCTGAAGTGTTTCTCTTCCAACACTGTAATCCCTATCCCACCCCAGCTTTAAAAAAAAGCTTGAAAATAATAGATCTTTATGAATAAACAGTATGGAAATAAATAAGAAAAATCAAGATAAAGATAAGCATAAAAGTATACTGCTTGTGTTCCTGGTAACTTCCATAGGATATAAAAGAATTAATAAGGCAATTAAAAATAAAACAATATTAAAATAAAGGGCTATACAGAGATGGGGCAAAGATTTGATATATGGGAGACCTTCCAGGGCTACTGAGAAATCAATTCAACAAACATTAATTGGCTACCACAGTTAAAGCCTTGTCAAGCACTACAGGGACATAAAGATAAAACAGATATAGTTGAGCCCTCAAGGAAGTTGTGAGAGAAAAATACACGAGAAATCAGAAAGTAATAAAGGCACATATAGGGACCCAGTAATTAGTGAACATTAGAAAACCTTACTCACTTCACTGTTATAATCCAAAGAAACAGGAGAGAAAACAGGATAAGAAGGAAAGGATTCTGTATTGATCTGAAAAAAGAGTAGAACGTTATAAAGGTAAAAAGAAAAAACAAATCCACACTTTCTCAAACACTGCCAGAAATACCAATTATTCAGTCACCCAAGTTCATAGTTGTAACTGCCAGCGAAGGAAAAAGAAAAAGAAACCAATGCCAAGAACCCAAGTGAATCTCTATGAAAAAGTTACGAGTATCATCACCTGTGAGAAGGAACCTATCCTTGTCTTATTAAATCATCAGGACACACTTACAAGCAAATGGACCAAAGAGAGCATTGTGTCTACCAGAAGCAAAGATTAGAATCTTCAGTGACTGTAATAAACCATCTCCTCTGCTTCATGGAAATCTCTAATGTCAGCAAAGGAGTGGTGCCCTTCTTTGGCATTATCTGATTAGGATGAAATATAAAAATAGGAGCAGAAATACCTGACTTGGGTAAGGAGCTTGTCCTCCAGGATACTGAGAAGGCATCTGTCCTCCAGGAAAGCCACCTAAACATTTAAAAAAATACAGTAAACAGGTCTTATAGGATTTAATTTTTCAAAACAGCATTGACTATTATGAATATGGAAACATATGAGAACATTCACACTATGTTATTCACTAGGATAAATTTTTAGCATTATAATTCACTGAATCTAAAACCAACTTTGGTCATAAGAACCTTTTACAATAATTCATGTTCTACACAATGTAACAAATAATACCTTTTTTTTCTTTAAACACTCAAACCAAACTAAATTCTGATTCCATCTGGAAAGAATGTCAGGACATAGTTCTGAAGGTTTAGGAGTGGTACAGGAGTGAGCAGAGAAGCTCCTAAAGGTTTTTTGGCTCTGGAACAGATTTTTTTTGTAACTGGAAAAGTGGGTCCTTATTTCCATCCTACTGATTAAACTTTTCCATCAGATTAATCCATTTCATGAAACCATGTATTTAAAATTATTCATGGAAGTACTAAGTTTACTGAAGGCTATCCCAAATGTAAACTAAGTTCTCTCAATGGCAATTGAGATTTTTAAAATAGCACACTATTGTTTTTCTCTGGATAGTTGGTACCTACCAGGCAGCGGGACCTGTGCTGGGCCAACACCGTAAGACTGGGAGGGCGGCTGTGGATAGCCAGGCAAGCCTGCTCCCCCTGGTGGGGTTCCAAACCCTTGACCTGGAGGAACCAGAAAAAAGAATATAATGACAGTTCTTATGACTGGAGAGTAAACTTCAGGAAAATATCTACTAAGAACAGTGGGGGAAAAAATAGGCTATTAATCTATAACAGCAGTCTCTTTTGGTCTAAATTCAACTTACCAATTCCTTCTCCATTACAACATTTTTACTTCATTCACCTGCCCAACTAACTTATAATATCAGAAGTGCTAAACTTTTTTACCTTTGAACAAAGCTGTCTTTTTTAAGGATCACAATCGATTACAAATAACCAGTGTGATACCTGGGTGGCTCAGTCAATTAAGCATCTGCCTTCAGCTCAGGTCATGATGCCAGGGTCCTGGGATCGAGCCCCACATCAGGCTCCTTGCTCAAGAGGGGAGTCTGCTTCTCCCTCTGCCTGCCACTCCCCATGCTTGTGCTCTCTTGCGCTCACTCTCTCTCTGAGACAAATAAAATCTTTTTAGGGGTGCCTGGGTGGCTCAGTCGTTAAGCGTCTGCCTTCGGCTCAGGTCATGATCCTTGAGTTCTGGGATCGAGTCCCGCATCGGGCTCCCTGCTCGGCGGGAAGCCTGCTTCTCCCTCTCCCACTCCCCCTGCTTGTGTTCCTGTTCTCGCTCTCTCTCTCTGTCATATAAATAAATAAAATCTTTAAATAAATAAATAAATAACCAAGCCAACTGTTATATATTGGTCCTTTATTACCATGAGATTTATTCTTTTTCACAACAGAATTTTAAAGAATGTTCCCTGCTTTCATGCTCCCTAAGAACCTTTATCCCTCAATCTTGCCAGCCAGGTTCTTACTGTCTTTGGTAGAGAGTAGGCTAAGAGCATCTCTGACCTCATACAAAACAAGCAAGGATGAAGAGGATAAAAAAAGGAAAAAGTGGTACAGCAATTCCAAATCCTCACTAATGCCACAACCCATTACTCACCTCCTGGATAGGCTGGAGCTCCCCCTGGTGGTGGGGCACCAGGATAGCCTCCAGGGGCTGGATAACCTCCAGGGGCAGGGTAGCCTCCAGCTCCTGGGTAGCTGCTACTTGGGGCTGGTGGGTAGGCACCTCCTCCCACTGGAGGAAAGCCACTAGGATAAGGATACTGACCAGGAGGGGGAAAAGATGACTCCTGACCTGCAGGCTGAAAAATGAGAAAATTTTTCAAATGAATGTGATCACATAGAAATATGACCCACCTAAAAAAACAAACAGATAACTGTCAAGGTCTAGATTTTCTTTTACATATTAAAAATCCCATTAAAAGTCTTGGTATCTTATACTAGTTTACCAGTATACTAGTTTGTCAGGACACCTGCTTGTCAGAACTCAGTTAAATTTAATTCTACCTGTGTCAGGCAAGAGGGGTCTGTTTCTCTATTTGGGAGTAAGAACTAGACTCTTTACAAACCTCAAGCCTTCAGGAAAAACTAACAAAGCTCATTAGTTCCTTCATTTTTATAGCACCTGGAAATATGAGAAAGATATAGCTCTCTACCCTAAAGAGAAGAATTCACAGCTCTCTTGCAACATACCAGAACCTGTTGCGTAATAGGAAAAAAAAGAAAAGAGTCACCTGAGTCATACATGGTGTGACATTTTGGAGCCGACTAGACAATGTCTAAGAGTGGCAGAGATTGTCACATGTTCACTAAACCTTCTCCTCTGGCCATAAAGCTAGACTACCTTTTCCAGAACCCCCTGCAGTTAAGTAGGACAATATGAGTACTGGTGAATGAAGAGACACAGAAGTGAAGTACACCACTTCCAGCCTGGCCCCTACAAACCCCCTTCACAGTCCTCTATACTCTCTCATTCTCTTTTCCTTCATCTGCCAAATGGAAGCAGAGAATCCAGTGGAAGACTCTAAGGCCCTATAGGATGGTAGACCCACTATGTCGAAGGAGCCTGGAAACCTGAAAGACTACATGGAATAAAGCCTCCTTGATTCCTCCCACCCTCCCACCTTCCCGCCACTGACTTCTAGGAAGTAAAGCAAGCAAGAAGTGAGTTTTCATTCTGTAAAGTCACTTAGATGTTGGGGTTGTCTGTTTCAGAAATTAGCCCACACTGACGAAATGGTAGCCAGAGTCCAGTTCAGTACCTAGGGGCCTGGGAACATATTCATAATTCTCATCACTCCTATGATAAATTCAGGAGAGCTATATATTCATCTTACATAAGGATACACATATTATCATTAACCTGCATAGGCCTCTTTGTATTCTCCCAGAGTTAGAAGGAAGCCTTACACACTTATGAGTATAAAATTGAAATGCATAATTCTCACTTAAATGTTCCCGCTATGAGTTTAGTCCTCATAGTCCAGACATCAACAAGGCAGAACTTAGTAGCACATTTATAAAATGAACCTCAAATACTCAGTCTCAGAACTACAAATCCAGGGACCTTTAATCCACTGCAATTTGTTATCTCTGAGTCAAGCCCTTCTAATTATTTTAAATCTTCTAACACAAAGGTTAAAAACCAGTGACTCATGGGATGAACTTAGCTTACATACATGTTCTATTGGCTCATACAACATTAACATTTAAAAAAATTAATTTCCCGGGGCGCCTGGGGGCTCAGTTGGTTAAGTGTCTGCCTTTGGCTCAGGTCATGATCCCAGGGTCCTGGGATTGAGCCCCGTGTCGGGCTCCCTGCTCAGCGGGGAGTCTGCTTCTCCTTTCTCCCTCTCCTGCTCCCCCTGCTTGTGCTCTGTCAAATAAATAAAATCTTTAAAAAAAATGAATTTCCCAATTTAAAAAAATGGGGCAATTTCATATCAATTCCACATTTCTGGCTTTTCTTGAAGAAATGGAGTATTAGCAACACTGAGTCTGCCTCCCAGCATGGCTATATTGGGCTACAGCTGAGTAGCTTCCGGTTTTCCGAAAGTGAGGCAAGTGCCCTCTCATTCCTCCATAATACCTGCCTTAACACACTTATTCTACTCAGTACCTCTGGGCAATTGAGTTTATGACCCCTACCCTAGCATACCTGTAAGATCTGCCATGGGCTAGTCCTATACGATGCCTGTTCCAAGTACATAAGCTATTTTATAAGTGCCAATACTTACAGGATATCCAGGGAAAGGTGGGTAGCCTGTTGGGGGATAGCCTGGGTATGACATTCTGTAACAGTAAAAAAAGTCCTCTGTAATTTTTTATAAGGGTTAAGTCCTTTGAACATATATATTATCATAGGGTTTTACACAAAATATATCTTTCAAAATGAAGAATCTGTCAGGCATTCAACAGGTGGATATTAGAGGTATAAGCAAAGTTTATAAAATGCTTCATTTCACCATTCACACCAAGGAGTCAGTATAGCATAGTAAATGTTCCAACTTCATTCTCTTCATACCATATAATTTGTCATATCTGAATACTACCAGTACTATTATTTATGGAATATTTACGGAGTATCTTTTAAGCCAATTAATTTTTCATGTAAATTTATGTCTAGGGGCTCTGGGTGGCTCAGTCATTGTCTGCCTTCAGCTCAGGTCATGATCCCAGGGTCCTGGGGTCGAGTCCCACATCGGGCTCCCTGCTCCACGGGAAGCCTGCTTCTCCCTATTCCACTCCCCCTGCTTGTGTTCCCTCTCTCACTGTGTCTCTGTGTCAAATAAACAAAATCTTAAAAAAAAAAAAAGGTAAAATACTTTAAAAAAATTTATTTTAGGTCTACTTTATATCACTTCCATAAATGGAAAACTTATGTTTCTTGAGAAGGTAACATTAAAATGAACATGTAAATATTAAAACAAAGGCTTTTCAGGTGCCACAGATATCCCCTTATTTGGTGATGTAACATTATGGGAAACAATGGTTAAGATTTAACATTCTGTAGTCACACACACCTTTTTATAAACTTTTAAGTTTCAAACTTAATCAAAAGTTAATAGTATAGGGGCGCCTGGGTGGCTCAGTTGGTTAAGCGACTGCCTTCGGCTCAGGTCATGATCCTGGAGTCCCGGGATCGAGTCCCGCATCGGGCTCCCTGCTCAGCGGGAAGTCTGCTTCTCCCTCTGACTCTCCCCCTCTCATGCTCTCTATCACTATCTCTCTCAATAAATAAATAAATAAATCTTTAAAAAAAAAAGTTAATAGTATAAGAAACCCCATAGACTCAACACTCCGCTGCGGTAATTACTAATTCATGGCCAATTTTTTTTTTTTTTCCTCAGTACTCTCATTCATTCCCTACCACTCCATTGGATTATTCCAAAGCAAATTCCAGACATTCTACCATTTTAACCTATATATACTTCAGTATATATACCTACAAACATAACTTTAATTAACAGGACTGGACTGTTTTTAAAATAAAACCATAATATCCTCAATGTGTCAGTGTCCAAATTTCTATGGTCTTTTAAGTATTTTTATTGTTCTTTTTTTAAAGATTTTATTTATTTATTTGACAGAGAGAGACACAGCAAGAGAGGGAACACAAGCAGGGGGAGTGGGAGAAGCAGGCTTCCCGCTGAGCAGGGAGCCCGACACGGGGCTCGATTCCAGGACCCCGGGATCATGACCTGAGCCGAAGGCAGACGCTCAACAACTGAGCCACCCAGGCGCCCCTCGTTTTTTATTTTATACTTGTTTTTTTATTAGGGAAAATTCAAAGATTTTAGAACAGTGTTAGATTGACCTGCATGGCATTACTGAAATTCAAATGTTTTAACATACAAATTTCTTGTGGTTCATCCTGATATAATGAATGTTCACATAACCTTCATGTTCAGTTCCAACAACTATCAAGTCATAGTTAATTCTGTTTCATTTTTACCCTTCCCTAGATTTTTTTTTTTTTTAAAGATTTTATTTATTTGAGAGAGAGCATGAGCGGGTGCGGGGGCGAGGGTGGTAGAGGTAGAGGGACAAGCGGACTTCCCACTGAGCTCAGAGCCCAACGTGGGTCTTGATCCCAGGACTCTGAGATCATGACCTGAGCCAAAGTCAGCCACTTAACCAACTGAGCCACCCAGGCGCCCCTTCCCTAGATCATTTTAAAGCAAATCCCCAGTCAGTTAAGCATCTGCCTTCTGCTTGGGTCATGATCCCAGGGTCCTGGGATCGAGTCCCACATCAGGCTCCCTGCTCTGTGGGGAGTCTGCTTCTCCCTCTGCCCCTCCTCCCACTGGTTCTCTCAATCTCTCTCAAATAAATAAATAAAATCTTTAAAAAAAAAAATAAAGCAAATCCCCAGACATCATATCCCTTTACTCATAAATGTTAATACACCATCTGTAAAAAGAGGACTCTTTTAAGCCATATTTACCAATACTGTACCTTAAAAATTTAATTTCCTAATATCAAATATCCAGTCAGTGTTTAAATTTACCCAGATGTCTCAAAATAATTTTTACAGTTTGGTTGTTCAAATCAGTATACAAATAAGGTCCATATAGTCTAGTCAGTTGGCATGTCTCTTAAATCTCTTTTAAAAAGCCTCACCTCTCCTATTTTTTCCATGCAGCTTACTTGTTGAAGGAACCAGTTTGTCCTGAAATCTCCCTCTATCTGGATTTTGCCAATAGAATCTCCATGATAATCTTTTATAGTTATTTACTATAGATTTGTAGTCAGATCTAGAAGCTTGATCCTATTACTATTTTAGCATAAATACTCAAAAAATATTGTTTGTTTCTATCAGGAAACACATTAATGATCAACCGTCTCTCTTTTACGTGGCTGATAATCAATGCCTAGATCTAATTCTATCATTTTTTCTTCATTTATTATCTGGAATCTGAGAAATCTTTTATCAACTATATGGTTTTCCTGAAGTACAGTCTATATTGAGGGGTGCCTGGGTGGCTCAGTTGGTTAAATGTCTGACTCTTGATTTCAGCTCGGGTCATGATCTCAGGGTTGTGAGACAGAGCCCTGCATTGGGCTCTGCATTGGGTGTGGAGCCTGTTTAAGATTCTTTCTCTCCATCTCTAAAAAAAAAGAACAATCAATTCAAAGTTATTTTCTTCAAAAGGAGCTCATTTCTATTTGGAAATGCAAACAGTAACCGGAATATCTGATGATGTTAAGAAATTACTACATCTTGGGGCGCCTAGGTGGCTCAGTCGTTATCGCCTGCCTTCGGCTCAGGTCATGATCCCAGGGTCCTGGGATCCAGCCCCGCACCGGGCTCCCTGCTCGGTGGGAAGCCTGCTTCTCCCTCTCCCACTCCCCCTGCTTGTGTTCCCTCTCTCGCTGTGTCTCTCTCTCTGTCAAATAAATAAATAAAATCTTAAAAAAAATTACTACATCTTTAGGTGTCATATTGGTATTATGATTTTTGTGAAGCATCTGATCTTTTAGAGATACACACTAATATATATAAAATGTTATAATGTCCGGAATCACTTCAAAATAATATGAAAGGGTTGGGCAGGAGTACAGATGAAACAAGATAATCATGAGTTGATTATTTATGCTGGGTGACAAGTATGTGGGTACTCAATACACTCTTCTGTCCACTCTTACATGTTTAAATTTTTCCATAATAAAGGGGTTTTTTTTTGTTTTTTTTAAAGACAGCTCATACAAACCATAAGAGACTCTTAAGCATAGGAAACAAACTAAGGGTTGCTGGGGGGGGAGGGGGGTAACTGGGTGATGGACATTAAGGAGGGCACGGGATGTCATGAACACTGGGTGTTATATAAGACAGATGAATCACTGAACTCTACCTCTGAAACTACTAATATACTATATGTTAATTGAATTTAAATTAAATAAGACAGCTCATGTAAAACAAATGCAGACAATGTGAACCAAAAAGCCACAAATATATACATACATATGTATGTGTGTAAATGCCTTTCGCATTTGAAGAAAACACTACTAACCTAAAACAAATGCAAATAAACAGAGGGAAAAAACATTCAGAACAATACCCTTCCTAGCCTGACCATATCTAAAAAACTATTGGTGATCAGATAAAATATACCTGGCAAATATATCTATCTAAAGTCAAATAATCATTTATTTAGCATGTACCATAAAACACTGTACTAAGACTGTATTATCAAAGGTTTAAACTGTTTTAAAAGGTGATGGATAGGGGCGCCTGGGTGGCTCTTCGGCTCAGGTCATGATCCCAGGGTCCTGTGATCCAGCCCTGCATCGGGCTCCCTGCTCCGTGGAGAGCCTGCTTCTCCCTCTCCCACTCCCCATGCTTGTGTTCCCTCTCTCGCTGTGTCTCTGTCAAATAAACAAATAAAATCTTTAAAAAAAAAAAGGTGATGGATACATTGGCAGAGAAGTTGAACACTATCATGTGCAAGGCAAAAGGTGGAATATAATTGTAAGATGGACAATCATCAAAACAGAATGAGGAGTATATTAAGAGAAGCCAGCTAGGAGGCCTTCAGTATTGGGCGGAATTAAATACTCATCTTTCCCCCACCAGATCACTCTTAATATCCCATATCTAACCAAGAAACAGACTCTCAACTATAGAGAACAAAGTGATGGTCACTGGAGGGGGCGGGGTGTTAAACAGGTGATGGGTATTGAGGATGGCACTTGTGTTGAGCACAGGGTGTTGTGATGAATCACTAAATTCTACACCTGAAACTAATATTGTAATGTATGTTGACTGGTTGGGATTTGAACAAAAACTTGGGGGAAAAAAAAATACCGTATCTGTTACTAGTACCACTATTTAAATTACCTACGACTAAGTACAGTAAATAACCCAATGTTTTTCTTTTTCCTTTGAAATGCCTCTCCTACTCTTCCTGTAATTTCTATTCTCATGGCCATATCCTTAGACCAGGTTTTCATCACTTGATGCCTGTTTTACTAAAATTACTTTCCCATTTATGTCCTTGCATATACTCTCACACTTATAATTTTCCTGCACTTATAGTTTTCTCTTTCAGCATATCACTCTTCAGTTCAAAACTCCTCAAAGACTGCTGCCGGAGTATCAACTGAAAATTCATAGGCCTGACATTCAGGTCTCCTTAGTACTGGCTCCAATTTATCTATTCACTTTCTTTCCTCACAATACCTACACTCCAATGTGCAATCTCTACCACTTGAACCATTCCCAACATGCCCTTGTTTCAGCCACTGTTATTAACTGACTTGGCCCTCATGCCTGGGCTCACTCACCTTCCCGGACTTACCAAGCTCAAATCTCCTCTCTCCCTTCTTTGAACAAGGTACTAGATAAAACAGTACTTCAACTTTAACATGGATGTGAATTACTTGAATCTCGTTAAAAATGCAAACTCTGCTTCAGTAGTTCTGAGATGGGGCATGAGATTCTGCAGTTCTAACTAGGCTTCCAGGTGACGCTGATGTTGCTGGTCTATGAATATTTTTTTTAACTCCTATGAAACCATCTCTAAATCATATTAAGTGGGAAAAAAAGGCAAGGTGAAGGGCGCCTGGGTGGCTCAGTTGGTTAAGCGACTGCCTTCGGCTCAGGTCATGATCCTGGAGTCCCGGGATCGAGTCCCGCATCGGGCTCCCTGCTCGGCAGGGAGTCTGCTTCTCCCTCTGACCCTCTTCCCTCTCATGCTCTCTGTCTCTCATTCTCTCTCTCTCAAATAAATAAATAAATAAATAAATCTTTAAAAAAAAAAAAAAGGCAAGGTGAAAACTGCATAAACTGCCAACTCTAAGTATAGAAAATACATTTATTTGCTTGTATGTATATCCCTGAAAGTATTCTCAAAAAACGAGGCCAGCTGAGACATAATGGGAAGGAAACTTAATTTTCAATGTACTTTTAGCCCTTTTGGAGTTGTGCATGTATCATCTATTCAAAAGGTAGATTTAAAAAGCTTTTGCAAAAAACTAAAATCCCAGGGTGACTCAACAAATTACTCATTTTCCCCAAGGAATAATAAGACTATATTGGTAAACAAGAGCTTTTATTTCCTTTTTAACATTCTCCATCACCAACTACTTTTGTAAGAGTAGAAATCATTCTTGGTCCTCCAAACCATCTCCACCCAGTGAGTCAGCTACTAAAAGGGTTGGGCCTCACTACAGAAGTCTCAAGATGGCAGGAAGCCCAGGAACACAAGATTTATGAAACAAATACGAAACAGGAAGGGCAAATGAAGATGGCCAACAGGAGCGACTACAATTTTCCAAAACCTGCCTCTTGGTGGGGAAGGACAATTTAAATCAGTTGGCAAGGGCCCTTGGATAAAGAACTAGAGTAAGGGCCAGACATGACTTCTGGGACAGGGAAGGCAGCCATCACCAGTGAGGACTGAAAAGCAGCTTAAATTTGGAGTAGCCAACATTCTCTCTTCTACCTGCCATCTAGTGCTTGAAACTCCTTCCCTGCCTGAGAAGTAATTCATTACGCTCTAAATAGGACAGATTATCAGATCAGCTCCCTATCAGAAGATACTAGCGAGTTTAAAGGCAGTTTCTGTCACTTTTATGGTAGACATCAGCCACCTTTCGCTGTATAGGAAGTGTTTGCTCAGGACGGAGGGCCTGATATCAGCACACATCTGTTGAAGGAATAGTAATCAAATCTGGAATGTTATTTCCCAGAATAGTTTCCAAGAACTATAAACTTGAGGCAATGTACAATTTTAGGCTTAGGCATTCTGTCCCAGGCTTAGTGAAGCACAGGACAAATTCCCCAAAATTTGCTGTGTCACCGGAAAATCTAATCACCAGCCAGCCAGCTTTCGTTGCTCCTTGTTGGTTTCCCTACTCAGCTTTCCTTGAGGTCACTTCGGCAGGGCCCTCCTCTGGCCTCAGTCCCTCCACCTGTGGTCCACCTGCGGTCCACCTGCGGTCCACCTGCGGGCGCGCGGGCTATCACCGTCCCTCTGATCTCCAGACAGCGGAGTGGCACAGAGGCCGGCCGCCTCGCCTATCCTACCCCAATGCAATGCGCCTCCGCCCGAAAGCCCCTGGCGGGGAGCCAGGGTCCTGAGACACACACGCAGAGACGCCCGCCGCCCCGAGGCCCACAGGCACCTCCACCGAACCCCTACCGCGGGGACACACACGGCGCCCCGCCATCTCCCGGACGGCGCACCTCAGAGCGGGCATGTGCGAGGTGACACAGGGAAGGGGGGCAGAAAGGGTAGGGGGCGCCTCACCTGACCCCGGCGAGCAGCGTCACAGCCCAAGCCTGGTCGCCAGCAAGATGGAGCCGGGGGAGGGCCCGGGGAGGCGGAGCGCCGGGGGCACCGCCCGAGCCCGTTAGGACCGCTGCGGCAGCTGGGAACGCCCCTGCAGCTGGAGGGGGCGGGGCCGCGCTCGGCCCCGCTGGTGCTTTCGCTTAGTCCGCACCGCGCTGCTCCACCTGCGGGAAGAGACGCTCCCTTCGGGTGGACCAGCCGGTTTTATCACATTTCTCGGTCCCAAGGACCATCTCCAGTCACGTTGGGGCTCTCTCAAGTCACAGCGCTTTTAAGAAATCCCGGAGCCCTTTCCGTGAAGGGCAAATGAGAAGGGCCGCGCACCTGGAAGGCCAGGTACAGCCTCTCCGCCTCTGATATACCGTCCTCCCTGAGATAAAGACCGTGTCTTTTGTTAGATCCCTATGAAAAGAATTAATACTTATCGGGATCCTAGATAGCCAGAACTCGAGATACATTATAATCAAAACCACTCCAGACGGGCTGTTGGGTGATTCTAGGTCCCCCTCACACTAGAGCCTTAAACACAAACACTATTAAACATCTGAGGTAATTTGAGGGTCTCAGACCAGTATCTTAAACTCATTAAGAAAGTTTATTTCAGAGCAAAACCAGTCAGTTAACCTTTTACAGTGGTCTCAAAGTGTGGTCCCCACACAAGTAGCAGCAATATCACCTGGAAACTTGTTAGAAATGCAAATTTGGGGCTCCACCTTAAATCTACTGACTCAAACTCTGGGGTGGAGCGCAGCAATTTGTTTAACAAGCCCTCCAGGTGGTTCTAACTTAACACTTAAGTTTGAGAACTATCTATTTATTACTCTACATGCTTTCTACTCAAAAGCTTCCTCATGAGGGTGGGCCAGGAATTCGGATTTTATTCTGGTTCCAGTGGGAAGCTATTGGAGAAGTTGAATCAAGGGAATGACATAGCCCAATTTATTCTCTAGAAAAATTATTCCCCCAGATGAATGGCCTGCAAAACCCAAGCCAACAGTTGATCTGGTGACCAAATAAGCAGAGATTTATATCCAATACTGGAGGAAAAAATGGCTCTGATAGACCTGCTGAGATGAGCATATCAGCATCCAATTTAGTATCATCCTAAAGGATTTTCAATACGGTTTTTAAAATGCATTTTTTTTTCATTTACTACGTTAAGAAATATATTAACCTTGCTTATGTCAGTCTTCTATTAAATTCTAAACACTTTAAGGGCAGAAGCCATCTTAGATTTCTCAGCAGTTAGCATAAAGATAGGCATTTAGACTTTTATGTACCCACCACCAGTCTACTAAGTTGAAAACTTGTGTCACTTGTTACCGTGTGGCTTCTGTCGTCTCCTGATTTGATTCTGATAGATCTATCACCCTTCACCCATCACAATCAGTAACCAACCCCTATAGATTTTACTTTCATGATTTATCTATAAAATGTCACTATTTACTTGTTAGAAATTACCCCTTCCTTTCCATGCCTCCTATCATCTTAGCTGGCACCTACATTATCTTGTCTGAACCATGACATATCCAACTGGTTTTTCCATCATCAAATCAATACTTACGCAGTATTGCTAGCTCAATGTTTATGTTGCTGTATAAAATTAAAATGGTATGGATTTAACAAGGGTACCATTTATTAAGTACGAACTATGTGCTAGGCATTGCATTAAGCACTTGGCAAATATTCTGTTTTTACATTCTCTAAGATTCCCCTCCCCGAGGCTGGGGGGGGGGGGGCGGGGGCAGGAGAAGGGAGAGAGAATCTCAAGCAGACTCTGCCCAGTACGGAGCCGGATGTGGGGCTCAATCCCACAACCCTGAGATCACAACCTGAGCCAAAGTCAAGACTTGGACACTTAACCAACTGAGCCACCCAGGCACCCCTACATTCTCTAGATTAAAAAAAAAATTATGCTTTATGAAGATATAATCCACTCATGTAAAGTGTACAATTCAATGGTTTTTAATATATTCACAGAACTATACCACCACCCAAATTTAGAACATTTACATCACCTCCAAAATAAAACCCATGCCCTTAAGCCATTACCTCAATACCCTCATCCCCCTCATCCATATGCTGCCACTAATCTGTCTTCATAGAGTTGCCTATTCTAGACATTTCATATAAAAGTATTCACACACTATGTGTTTGTGACTTCTTAACATGATCATCAATGAACATGTTTTCAAGGTTCATCCATGTTGTAGCATGAATCAGTACTTCATTCCTTTCTAAGGCCAAATATTTCATGACATGGATATACTATATTTTATTTATCCACTCATAAGCTGATGAACATTTGGGTTTTTATCTTTTGGCTATTGTGAATAATGCTGCTATGAACATTTGTGTACATGGCTTCATTCCTTATGGGACATACCAAGGAGCAGAACTGCTGGATCAAATGGTAACTCAATGTTTAACTTCTTGAGGAACGGCCAGACTGTATTCCAAAATGGCTGCACCATTTTATATCCCCACCAAGAGCGTATGAGGGTTACAATTGCTGTATATCACCAACACTTGTTATTTTCTGTCTTTTTAGTTATCATCATTTTAGTGGATCAAGTGCTATTTCATTATGGTTTTGACTTTTATTTCCTGATGACTAAAGATGTTAAGCATCTTTTCATGTGCTTATTGATCGTTTGTATATCTTCTTTGGGGAAATATCTATTCGGATCATTTGCCCATTTTGTAATTGGGTTTTTAGTTCTTTTATTGTTGAGTTGTAACAGTTCTTTATATATATTCTGGATATAAGTCCATTATCAGATATGTAATTTATGAATATTTTCTTATATTCTTTTAACTTTCTTGATGGTGTCCTTTTCAGTGGTTTTTAATTTTGATAAAGTCTAATTTATCTATTTTTATTTTGGCTGCTTATAGATTTGGTGTCATATTTAAGAAACCACTGCCCAATCCAACTTCATGAAGATTTACCCCTATGTTTTCTTCTAAGAGTTGGATAGTTTTAGTGACTTAGGTCTTTGATCCATTTTGAGTTAATTTTTGTATGTTGTGTGTAATGTTGTGTGTATGTGGGGGGGTCCAACTTCATTCTTTTGCATGTGGAGTCCTGTTGTTCCAGTACCATCTGTTATAGAGTCTGTTCTTTTCCCATTGAATTGTTTTATCACTCTTGTCAAAAATCAATTGAGCATAAATGTTAAGAACTTATTTCTTGCTTCTCAATTTGATGTCATCTATCTATAGGTCTATCCTAGGCCAGTACCACAGTCTTGATTACTATTACTTTGTAGTAAACTTTGCAATTGGAATGTGTGAGTCCTCCAATTCTGCGAACATTTTCACTTAACTCTCTCTCTTTTTTTTTTTTAGGTAGGCTCCATGCCCAGTGTAGAACCCAACGCGGGGCTCAATCCCACGACCCCGCGAACATGACCTGAGCCAAAATCAAGAGTCAGACGCTTAACCAACTGAGCCACACAGGTATCCCAGAACACATGAATTCTAACATTACCCCTATCAGAGTGGGCAATAAGAATGTATATGTGTGTGTTAGGGTTACGGGTGGGAGGTTGAGGTTATGGCAAGGTTGTAGGACTATCCTAATCTTGAGAATGTGATAAGAGAAGGATGGCATAAGACAGGATGTGGCAGAGTGCGAGGTCCAAACAGAGAGCTGGTGTTAATCACTCCTTTGGCAAGAGAGAAACCTCTAATCTTGAGGTGTTGTGACTAGACAAGTAATACTTGCCAGTGAATAGGAAATAGGATAAAACAAGTGACTTAAGAAGCCCCAAACTGAGTTTATTATGGTATAAACTAGGTAATAACAAATAACTCCAGTATATTCAACTAAAGTCCAATATACCCTAGGATATTTATTTATTTTTAATTTTTAAAAAATATTTATTTATTTATTTATTTTAGAGAGAGAGCACAAGCAGCAGGGGCAGAGGGGAGAGAGAATATCAAGCAGATTCGCCCTGAGTGCGGAGCCCAATGCAGGGATCAATCCCACAACCCTGAGATCATGACCAGAGCAGAAACCGAGTCAGAAGCTCAACAACAACTGCACACCCAGGTGCCTCTACCCTGGAATATTTAAATACAACACAAGGCAAAAAGCTGCTCTAGGGTTAGAAGTCCCCAAGAGAAAAGAAGAAAGTAAGATATTTATCTAGAAAAAGCCAGGAAATAGAAAAATATGCCAATCCTCACAACCTCTCCCATGTTCCCAACCACTTCTCTGATTTGCCCATTCTTGTACCACTTCAAGTCATTAACACCTTTCAATTTTTCAGTCCGAATTGCTGGATAAGAAAGTCTTTTCCAGAAAAATAAGGTGCCATTCTTTTCCTTGGCAGCATCTTATTCAAGTCAAAGGTACAACTTGCTCACAAAGGAAAATGTTAGTAATTCTAGGCTCTGGAAAGACTGATACCAGGGCCTCTTGCCACACATTAAATCTAGAATCCTGTCTCTGGAAGCTACTTGTAGCTAATCTCTTAGAAAAGAGTCACATCATATAGGAACTCCCATTCAGCTTAGAATCTTTACCTGACAAGTGGCTGAGGTTTAGGATATAGCGGATTTCAAAGTTGGCAACAACCTGACATCAGCAGAGCAATTTCATTACAACCTCCCAATTTTCTAGAAGTCCAGTCAGGATCTGGCTCAGTTATTTAAACCTCACCATCTACTTTCTCTTCCAGTTGCTTCTTATCCAGCTGGCAGGAACTTCCAAGAAACATAATATAGTAGGCACTGCAATATACTGGTTGTTTGTTGGGGTTGGAATAGACCTGTTCAGGTTTGAGGGACGCGAAAGGGTTAGCTCCATAGGCAGTGATGTGTGTATCCAGGTCCACCAGAATCTGCAAAGAAGCTGCCAATTCCTGATGGCTATAGGAGACAGATGAAAAAAAAAAAAAAGAAAGAAAAAGAAATTGCTCTGCTAATTATGAGAGATATAGGAGAGAAATTCCTCAAAACTTGATACTTCTGGACTCATTAATCCCCAAAATTACCAAAGGCTAGACGGGCAAGGGTATCCTTCCCTCCCAAATGTCTCACTAAGTACCTGATTAACTAGCATAGGACTTGGATCCAAGGGGATTAGAAAGCCAAGTGTGGAAAGGAAGAAAATCCTCACCAGAAGACAGAAGATGAGCAAGGGGGAGAGAAATGAGCTCATCTATACAGAGAGAGGTTTGAGTGAGTCAGGGAGGTATCACAAATAGGAAGAGGTTGAAACCTGTAAACAGTGATCAATGTAGGGATCTCATAATCACAAAGTAGCAGGAGGGTGGGCAGCCAAGCCTCCATCAAGTCTGGGGAAGCATGGAAACCTATATGGGGAAAAAAACAACAGAAATGGATATAGAGAGGGGAAAGGCTGAGGTAGACCCTAAGCAAGATACTTTTTTGATTGTGTCCACCCCTCCCCTCACCTTGCTCACCTCCAATGCTCATTTACCACCATCATCCACCCCACGTTCTGCAATGGAAAATTCTAAACCCAGGTATAGCACATATGGCTAATGATGGTTGTCATCATATTGTGTTTAACCTGACCAAATGAATGGGGTTCCAAATAGAGGAGATATAAGAGTCAGGATGGAAAATTCCCAGAAAAGCCACTCGGTATTCCCCTGAATGACTCTTACCTGGATGGAATGCCACCACCAAATCTGGATGGGTTGTCTGTCCAGTCTCTACCTGCTCCTCCCAGAAGTCATGATAGAGGCCCCTATGGCCACTAAGCTGAACTGTGCCAGGTTCCAGGGGGGAAGTTGAGGTGCTCTTTGTAAAGCCAGCAGATACGTCTATACCCACCATGATCACACGGAGGCCTAGGTGTCCAGGAAACATGTAGCCAAGCTCATCATAGTCCCCAGGGCAAGTGAGGAATGTCTCCACATGGGAAACACCAACCACATGCACTGTGCTTCCCCCAATCTTCTGAACATCTGTCCCCAAGGCCCGAAGCCCAAGGCCCAGTGTCAAGGGCCGTGATAGGGCATCTGTCAGCAGCCGTTTCAAAGAGCCCTGCAGGACATCTGGATCTGGCTTTGGCCGTCCCACGTTGGCCCACAGGGTGGTCATGGCATGACTACCTAGGACAGCATCCAGTGTAGCATCTAGCTGTAAACACCGCAAAGAAAACCAGGTATCCCAGCCCTGTACAACTTCAGCCAGGCATGGCCAAGGTCCTGAAGGTAGGACAAAAGCACCTGCAGGGAAGAAGGGATAAGAGTGACCTAATCCTTTCCTGGCTTCAATATTCCTTCCAAATTTACTCTTCCAACTTGTGACCAGGAGTGCTCCACCCAGTTTCTCGTGCTTTCCTCGTAACAACATGTTTTCATATCTTTCTCCAAGTACAACCAACTATGACCACTGTGGCAGAGTTCTCCAACACCACCACTTCACCCGTGACTAGAAGCCATTCCATGAGACGGTCCACAGCTACCAGACGCAGCTCTTGACAAACCTTCCTGTGCTCTGGCCAGAGTCCTATTACTCTGGCACTCCGGACCACAGTAATAGACATTTCTGCACCTGAAAGATGAGCCCCAGAAACAGATGTTCCTATACCTCAAAGGTGACTGGGAGATGACTAGGGAAGGGAATTGATACTTCCTGTATATAGGAAGAAAGATCACTGGATAGGGAAGGTAGGGAGAGGAGTGAGAGCTGATGCACCAAATTTGGAGATTACATTTGGCAGGGGAGGCATGAGAGACTAGGAATTTAATTATTCTCTTGGGTCAGGGTAACACCTCAGTCTGTATCTGGAATAACTCACTTTTTACATCCCTTACAGAAAAAAAAATACCAGGAGCTTGCAGCTGCCCTCTTATCACAGGTATGGCTCAACCCCAATCTCCCCAGAACAGACATGATCTTAACCCTTGAATATTCAAGAGGAAGGAGGTAGAGAAGATTATACAGTAGTACCCCCCTTCTCCACAGGGAATATGTTCCAAGACTCCCAGTGGATGCCTGAACTCATGGATAGTACCAAACCCTATATATACTATGTTTTTTCCTACACATACATACCTATGATAAAGTTTATAAATTAAAGACAGTTAAAGATTAATGACAATAACGTAAGACAATTATACTGTAATAAATGTTATATGAATGTGGTCTTTCTCTCAAAGTGTCTTATTATACTGTACTGACCCTTCTTCTTGTGATGTGAGATGATAAAATGCCTACATAAGATGAAGTGAGGTGAATGACATAGGTGCTGTGACAAAGTATTATGCTACTATTAACTTTTTGACAAGAGTCAGAGGAGGATCATCTGCTTCCAGACTGTGGCTGACCACACATAACTGAAAGCATAGAACGTGAAACTGCCCATAAGGGGGACTGCCGTACCATGGTCTGACTTCCCCATAATACCCAAAATAAGTAGGAGCCCAATCCTTTTCTAATCTTTCTGTGGCCTGGGTCACACAAAATGAGGAGTGGCCCTGAAGATATTCTGAAAACTCTTAGACCTTTCCTCCTGCCATGAAGTCTTAGAATAGGATCATTTCTGGATGACTCTAGTCATCCAGAACTAGTCACCTCTTGCACTGACGTAGGACCTTGGAGTCTGAAAGGCCACTAGGAAGAGCTCTACAGTGAGCACAGAATCGGAATGTGTCCTCCATCTTCTGGAACATTTCTTGAAGGCATCCAAATCCAAAGCCTGATACAGAAGCACCCCCATCTAGCACCAACCTGCAGAAATGGCATGGAGAAGAAGTGGCAATAGGAAAAAGAGTATCTCCAGAATCATTCATGACCTATACCTTGCCTCCTATATATTTCTATCTACTCCCACTATTTCTCACATGAGAAAATATTTCTTCTATAGTAATAAAACTTGCAAAAGTCAGGATGACTCACTGTAAATGCCCCATATTCCCCAAGTTATACTCCCTTCTTGCTTTCTGAAAGCACTTCTACCAGAGATAATATATTACTCTTCCACAGAGCTAGTCACTCACTTGTATTCTTCATAGCTCTTCATGTTTAGCTTTTGAAGGATTAGCTGGGATAGGCCAGGAACATTATTGTCCAAGGAGAAGAAGCCAAGTGCATCAATGCTAGGGTCAGGTTTTGAGAGGGTCAGAGGCACAGAGGTCACAACTGTGGGTGGGGTCACAACCATGGGAGTCACCGATGAGGGGGGTTTCTTGTGCCTTTGTTGCCGGGATCTTGGAGCCATGGCTGTCCACTGATACCTGGAGACTATATGGAGAACAGATAGGGAATGAAATTTTGCAAGCTAGACAAGTATGATGTGTTTTCATATGTTTGACCTTTCAATTCTCATTCCAGTCTCAGACCTAGGTATCAGTAAGATTTATTTAGGCTCTACTGATTATTGATCACCACAGGCAGTGATAAAAAAACAGGAGGAAAATAATTGTATATCAACATAATTATATATGTATTACATATGAAGTTCTATCTGAAATATAAATATATATGTAAGTAAATACATAGAAAAAGGTCTGGCAGGGCTCATATAAAACCAATAACAATGATTAACTCTAAGGAGGGAAAGAAGTAATGGGATAGGAACTGGGTTAATCAAAAGGAACTTTAGACTTATCTGTAACGTTTGACTCTTGAATACTAAGAATATATTCATATGTTATTAATGCATTTAAAAAATCAACTTAAAATGAGGGAGGAAAAAGCAACAGAAATCTTGGTTGTCTAAAACTACCAACTAATTGGAGAATCAGTCAATCTCACCTAGTTAAGGAAATAAAACATTCATTTTAGGAGACCTATCATCACACTTTTAAGCAATCAACCCAGAAATAGAAATTAAATGCAATATAAAAACAGCACCGCAATATTAAGATTTATGTAGTCAAAGCAAGTTATGCAAATTATGAGGAAAATTTCCTAAAGAGGTGAGCTTTGAAGTAGAACTAATCCCATACCCACCACTACCTAGGAGGAACTCTGATATTCTCCTTCCCTGCCTTGTCTTCTCCCATTCCTTCCACAAGGAATGAGTAAACAAAAGGAACTGTATTGGGAAAAATAACATCCATTCATTCAATAAACATTTACTGCTAAACATATATAATCACTCATATTATAATGGAACAAATATGAAAAGTATACTTAATATCTAAATGTTTTACAGAGGGATCAAATGTAAATTATAAGGCAGTATATAAATCCTATAAGAAAAGTGAAACTAAAGCACTAATGGGAGATCAGAAGGAAAGAATCTCCTCAGTTGGTTAGCTGTAGGAAGACTTTATAAAGCATGTAGCAGTCAGAATAGACCCATTAATGATGGTAATATTTGGAATACATGGAGACAGAAAAGAAGAATTCTAACCACAGAGAAGAGCATGAGCACAGAAATGTAGAAGGGAACACTCTAGGAATTAATGAAGTAGAATGGTTTCAGTTTGATTATTAAGTATAACCTAAATGTAAGAACTAAACCTATAAAGTCTTAGAAGAACACATAGGGAAAAGTATCATCATATGGATTTGGCAATTTCTCAGATATTACACCATAAAAAGAAGTGAAGTACTGATAATACGCTACAATGTGGGTGAACCTCAAAAACATTACACTAACTGAAAGAAGCCAGACACAAAAGATCATAAATTATATGATTCCACTTATATGAAATATTGAGAAACGGTAAATCCAGAGACAGAAAGCAGATTCACGGTTGCCAGGGCCTGGGAAGAAGAGATATGGGGAATAACTGTTAAACGGTTATGGGTTTTTCTTTGGAATGGTGAAAATGTTTTGGAACTAGATAGAGGTGGTGGTTGCATAACAATGTGAAGGTATGACATACCATGCTCACTTTAAAAGGATTAATTTTATGTTATGTGAATTTCATTCATCTCAATTAAAAAATAAACTGTATCCGTAGAGATTGAGAAGCTAAAAAATTATTTTTTTAAAAGATTTTATTTATTTGTGAGAAAGAAAGAGACAGAGAGAGTATGCACAAGCAGGGGGAGTGGCAGGCAGAGGGAGAAGCAGGCTCCTGGCTGAGCAAGGAGCCCAATGCGGGACTCAGTCCCAGGACCCTAAGATCATGCAAGCCAAAGGCAGATGCTTAACCAACTGAGCCACCCAGGTGTCCCAGAGAAGCTAAAAAATTATTAACCCTCAGATTAACTGCCTCTAGGGACAAGTAAATGGCAGAGGATATAACAGTGGTTGGTTTTACTGTGAATAAGGTAACTATTAAAGTACAAATCAGGGATCATGTTTTGTTACAAAAATAGTCTGACATTTAATCCTTCTGGACCAGATTTGTTAGGGAAAAAACTCCAAGAATCATCATTCAGCTGAGGTGTAGGTGGCAGAACAAAGACCTCCCAGAATCATCCAGCTACAATCTATTATCTGTACACCTGAAACTAATGTAACACTGTATGTTAACTGGAATTAAAATAAAAACTTAAAAAAATCTATTATCTTACAACATGGCTCTTGCAAACTGCTGTCCTTAGTTAACGAGGGAACTAATTTGTATTTTCCTTTGTACTTTCTCATCCTTTCATCACACCCCTGTAATCTCTCCCCTCATCCCACAGATAAATGGATGTTTTCAGAGTCCACAGAAAGAGCTAAGCTCATCTGCATATAATATCTTCTACATTCCCACCAGTACAGGAGAAATTAGACCTGAAGGTGACAGATTATTAAAGGGTCATGTCCCTTTACTAAAGGATGCCTTCACACTTGAGTACCCCATTTCCAACAACTGACCTGACACTTCCCTCCACTTTTTAAAAAAATGTACTTTACTTCATTTATTTATCTATCCTATCTATTTTTAAGAGAATGCCCCTGTGCGAGCAGCAGGGGAGGGGCAAAGGGAGAGGAAGAGAATCTTAAGCAGACCCCATGTTCAGTGCGGAGCCCGACTTGAGGCTTGATCTCGTAACGCCAAGATCATGACCTGAGCTGAAATCAGCTCAACTGACTAAGCCACCCAGGCACCCCTTCCATTTTTAATCTCTACACATTCTCATCCAATTTCTAGAATCACTGCAACTCGAGAAGCATTCCTCTGCTCTCTCTACCCACCCTCTTCGGGCAAGATAACATCTTCTTGAACCTTGAAAGAATGGATTCATCTTTCTTTAAAGGTATAGAGAAAAATCATCTTTGATTTGAGGCAAGTCAAGAGTCTTAAATCCCAGGAGTAATAATAAATATATATTCCTGATGTTCAACTAAAAGCCTCGTGCTGCAATGGAAACCAATTAAGACTATAAATGTACTGCCTAACTTATCTGCCTTTCCGAAGAGGTCTTTCTCCCAAGGAAGATTAACTCTTGGCTCTCTGGGGGTTGGTTGCACTGGCTGGGAAGTGAAGGGATCAGTTTGGGAGAGGAGTGGTGGTGATGAAATCTCTGATAGTTTCCTCTGTGTCTAGAGCAGGTTCATGATACAAATGAGCTAAATTTCTGGGAAGAAGGTAAGAAGGTGCATTTGTATCTGCATGAGGCTCATATCTGAGTTTGTGTACCTCAGGCCCAGACCCAGGTTCCCTGGTTCTAACTTTCCTGCAATGAGCCTCAGGATCCTCCAAGTTTGAGAGGAGGGACAGGACTGAGAAAACTAAGGCAAAAAACAGAGGGGACAGGGAGAAGTTGGAAAGAATTATATATAAAAAGCTTTAAGAATTTTCCAGAGATCAGAGTCTACCTCACCTAGCAGGGAATCACTTTAACTTTTTTCTAGCCATCCGCAATGACTTAGGCTCTAATTTATTCATAATGTAAGAGAGAAAACACCAAGGACAGAAGGAGACATGGACTGCGCGGTCTAGAAAAACTCTGATTTTCATTTCCAAATTCCCTCCAATATTAGCCTATTCCCAGACCAGGTCTCCCATCTTTCTCCTTCATCACCAAAAGCCTCAAGTTTCACCCAAACCAGTTACCTTCTCACTATCTCCAGACCAGGAAAGCCCATCTAATTTTCTCTAACTCACCAGCAAACACAAAACAGCTTTGGGGAGGTAGGGAAAGGGGGAAATGATGTTAGCCATTGGGGATCCTAAAAGGAGTTGGGAAAGAGAAAGAGAAAAGGAGGAATACATTAAGAATATTGCTATTATTAAGCACATTCAGCTTCTTAATCAGTGATTAACACTCCCTGGGGTGATAAATGTTTTACTCAACTATAAACTAAGCAAGCAGATGGTCTGATGGAAAAGTAACTTACCCTGCTAAGCCCTCGGCTTCCTTCCTTCTCTCTTTCTTCCAAGTGAAGTGAATGCTTGATCTCCCCATATCTAGGTTGTGGCTGACTTGCAGCTGTCCCTTCATATCACTTTCCTTTGCAAACTGCTGAAATGCTGAGTCTCTGTAATTAGGTGTGCCCTGCCAACCAGACAGACAACGCTGATTTCTCCCTAACGAGGTAAGGAGGGACCTGGCCCATGCCCATGGACTTCTCTCTTTCTGACCTTCCTTCTCTGCCAAGAAGGCTCAGAACTCTTGTCAACACTCCCAAACTCACCAAAGGCCAGGCAGGCTAAGGAAAGATGAAACCTATTGCTTCCTGAACCTCTCTCACTAAGGCAGTATTTCTGCTCTCAGTCCAAGAGTCAGAGAAGAAAAAATTAAAAACAAAAACCCTGGGATTAGGTCAGAAGTCATTATTTGTTTGGAAAGGTAGGCACTAGCTCAGATCAACAGAACTCCTGGAGTTCTGGATGTCAATCTAGACCCAGGATGAGTTAACCCAAGCCCAAAGTCCCTTTGAGCATAACAAACACTGCTCAAACACAATTCAACAATGATCAATCTAGGCTTAAACACAAACATAATACCCAAGAAAGAAGAATACAAATGGTCATTTAATGGTACAGAAGGAAATCAATTGTAGGGGAAACAAAATTAATTTGTAAAATTCACTTTCTCTGAAAGGAGAGCAAGGTACTTTGTCATCAGGCACACTCCATTTATTTATTTCAAAAGAGGAATAAATAGAGGAATAAAGTAAGCAAAACCAAAATATTATTGGCTAAAAATGCTGTTTCTAGGAACAGAAAATATAAAAGAATCAATTCAAACATCTTATTCCTTCCTATAATGAATGCTGATCCAGGGAATCTGATTACACATTCCTAGTTCCTTTTCATTTATCAAGCTCCAGGGTCTACCAGAAATTATCAGGGCAGTGGTCCTATATGACTGCAAGACCTGACTTTCTGTTTACATCTGGCCCTAGCTATGTCACTTACCTGCTTCTGTGAACATCATCAAACTGGGGAACAGAACAACTTGCAGTCAGTTTGAGGTCCTGGAATGTGGCAAATCAAAAATCTACATATGAACAGGTGCAGAGGATGGATTCTAAAGGAACCCCAAACTGTAGAAAGCAACTACACGCAGGGAAGGTGAAAGTAAGTGTTAAGGATGCAACAAAACATTACATATTATTCAGAATAGCTGTGGAGAAAAGAAAATCAGTAGCAATAGGCAAAAATCCCGAGTAAAACAGGAGTAATTCATTTTAAGCAAAGGTTTCAGGCCTATTTCAAATTTAACTGGCAGAACTTTTAAAGGTTATGAGTTCTACTAATAATGGCTGAACTGCAGAAGGCACAAGAAGTCAGAGATGGTCTTCTCTCTTTTTTTTTAATTAATTTTTTTTTTTAAGATTTTATTTATTCATTCATGAGAGACAGACAGAGAGAGAGAGAGAGGCAGGCAGAGGGAGAAGCAGGCTCCCCAAGGGGTAGGGAGCCCGATGTGGAACTCGATCCCAGGACCCTGGGATCATGACCTGAGCTGAAGGCAGACACTTAACCATCTGACCCACCCAGGCGCCCTGAGATGGTCTTTTCTAACTCAGAAGTGTCATCTTTGAATATAAAGGGATATAATAGATAGAAAAAATTCATATTGAATATTAATTTATATTTTACCATCACTACTACTAGCTCTGGTAGACATTAAAATTTACAATTTAGAAAGATCTGAACTTTTCAGTTTGCTTTCATCATTAGTTACATTTTTTAAAAAGCCTTAAAAATGTTTCTATGGTTCATTGTGAAACCTTAAAAAATATTTCTATGGTTCACAGTTATGAAGAAAGACTAGAAAGAGGTTCTTATTCAACAGTTAGGAAGTGGCCTGTGAGGCACTGGGTGATTTTTCTACCACTCTTAATGTATACCACTTTTCTGCATTCTGTTCCTTTCTCTTACTTTCTTCTTCTTTTTAATCTTTACCATCAACCCATAATTCTTCTAGTTTGCTAATGATGTTTTATGTTTACCCAAGATTCCCACAAACACTATATAACCCCAGTGATGGACCTAAGGGCTAATGAAGTTCCTGGTACCTGATATACTAGTTAAGCTCTTAATTTAGAGACGCATAGTTTTCATAAAACAGTAACATCCAGAAAAACCTTTAAACATATGCAGTGTATAGTAACTTTAAGGGTAGCTCATGGACTGCTATGTATGCAAGCTAATAATACAGCAACTAAAAGCTGTATTAATCAACAATTTGAGTTCTGTTTGCCTGGAATAAGGCAAATATATACAGTTCAATTTAAATCAGTGCTTTGTAAAGTGTGTATCATTATAATTATTGTTGAAAACTATAATTAAAGTTACTATATGATTATATTATAAAATGTTGAGCAATATCCTAATTTCCCTCAATTTGCAAAATTTCATACTTATTTTGATTATGGAAAAGAAAGGAATATGATGGCAAGAAAATACAGTATCATGAATATTCCTTTTCTTATTGTTAAAACACCCAATAAATTGCCAATACTATTATAACAAAACTCTAAACAAGAACATTTTCTTTCAATTAAAAGTTAAGTGAAATAGTGATTTTAAATGTTAGATTTAGGAGGCCTATAATAGGCACCCAAAGTACTCTAGTTTTCAGTTACTAATGTTCATGTAAGACAAATGTAACCAAAGTTAAAAAAAAAAAAATTTATGAAGACACAAATTTATCAAATTACCATGAACTATCCATGAGATAATCTCTGAAGGCTATATCCCAGTTCTAGTAACAGTATTCTCTGATTTGCATGAGGTCAAATCAGACTATATCTTCCAAATAAAACCCAACACAGAGATAGGAGCAGCGGCCCATGCATGGAATTTATTGTGTGCTACTGTTTATAAAATACTCGAATAGTCCTGCACATGCATAATATTTCCAACTTAGACAGGAGACCATACAGGGTGCACTTTCTGGCAAACAAAACAATAGATGGTTCCGCTGCCTGGAGCTCTGAGTTGTATTCCAGGGCATGAGGGAAGCAGGCCACCAAAGTAAAGGGAAATACCAAACTACAGTGGCAATCAATACAGGTCAGTAATTGTGAAAAATCAGCACATGGTTCCATTTAGTTTAACCAAGCAGTTCTGCAACTATCAAAAGAAAAGGTTCAACATGCAATCTTGACTTTTATGCTTCCACTAACATCCGAATGATTGAACAGAACCATTGCTTCTATGCTGCATTGCTTAATCAAAAACACTTCCAGAACATTTTTAAATTTCCTTTGCATCAAAACATAAAAATGATAGAAAGCCAGCAGCAAATCACCCTGGTGGCTATTTAAGCAACTTGAGTACTCACAATAAACTAAAATTTCTCATAACATCTAGGTAACCTATACATGTCGTACCTGTACATCATAGGTCTATATATTAAATATTTGCAAAATGAAAACATGCATACACAAAATACGTCAAGTTTTACAGACATGATTTGAATTAAAATTTTACTTTGACAATGTACAAACTTCTTTTAAAGTACCTTAAATGAGTAATTCTGTAATTCTTCATAATTTTGAAATTTAGAGGTTTTCTTCTTAAATCTCTAGGGTGTAAATTTCAAAAGATCTGGGCAAAAATATTCTAAATTCGTTTTTGGATTTGTGTTCAAGTAAGAGAGTCTGCCTAGAAATAGGTTATGCATTCATAATTGAAAAATACCAAGACTATATTACAGAATTAGCCACATTTAAGAACTATAGACCTGAGGTCAGCATTTTATATAAATGCCAACTGGGTTTCTCAGCATTTTGCCCATAATTCAAAATACAGCTTAGTAACCTCAGAAATGTATTTTAAGACCATGCTAATTCATCCTTTAAAGACATTTCATGGGGGAAAAAAAAAGTCCACATTAGCTCCTAGGATTGCATTTGAAGTCATGGTTAAAAAACAAAATCTAATTCTACTGAGGGGAAAAAGAAATCTCATTTGTAAACTTAATGTGTGAACCACAAGCATAAATGGAGGTGTAGTTGCCCTCCACTGGAAATTGCCCCAAGCCCCTTGCTCACTGCTCTCCACCTTGGCAGCGATGACCCAATCTTATCAGATATCACAACATGTCCCAGGGCCCTCAAGCCTCCATCCAGGAAGGGGGCTGGGGTCTCAAAAGCACAATGGTTTCTCCAGAGGGACTGTGACATTTACAGTCAGCTTGGCCGACCCCTCCAGATCCTGGGGGTGATCTGTCCATTTGGGGCCCGAGATGTGAGAGTCCCTGGGAAGCCGTGGGTCACTGGGCACTATGGTTGCCAGTCCCGTGGTTCTCAGTGGCATGTGCGGTGTTCAGAGAATTGAAACCATCTTGCTGTACAGCATCTTTCCGGGGTGGCATTCTCTCATTGATCCTATCCAAACCCTTTGCCTCTTCAAAACTGCAGATTCTATGTGGTGGAGAGAATCCTCGTATTGCTTAACAAAATGCAAATTTGATAAGTCAGTAATAGAAAAACATTTCTGAGATTTCAAAACATAATTAATGATTTTTAAGAAGAAAGAAATTAGCTGTATGTAGCAACATTTAAATCTTACTTTAATTGAATCCTATCCCCATTCCAGACTTCCCCTTAAAATGTGAAATGTTTAAACCTAAATATAAACACGATAGCTTCATAGATGACAAGTGTTAGCATAGCCTTTAAAAAAGAACGCACAAAAATAACCCTTCCCTGACCCCAAAATTAACCTACAGGCAATGATCTCAGGGTCTCAGTTTGACTTCTATGATACCAATTATCTCCTACCTCAGACCCTAAAATCACCAGTGACTATCACAGTAAGGCAGCAACAAGAGTAGGGGCAAGTGAGGGGGCTAAACAAGGTTAACCCTGACATACAAATCTGTACCAAGAGCTTGGGAGAAGAAAGAGGCAAAGTATGTTAAAATTTAGCAGATAAGAACTATCTTGGAGGTCAAGGTATCATCACCCCATCACCACCAGAATGAAATGAAAAAGGTGGGAAATGCCTCCAGAAGTTAGATCTGTATTTGGCTGATAGTAAAAAGTATTCAGTTTC